CAACAGACTCAACCAGTTTCGTTCACCTAGACAAATCCAAATGGCCGACCGACATCTAATCCAGCCTGTTGATTCGTTTGAGCTGTACTTTTATGCAGTCTACGATTATTTAGCATGGATAGCTCGAGAAAATCGAGCAGCACGGGTTGCAGTCAACTGGTATCTCGCACGCCTAGGCAGAGTTCTGAGAGAAACTGGCCCCGAGATGTTAAGCCACACTATGGCAACACTAGTGATGTTCAACGACTTCGTGAACTCGATTCAGATTGAACTGGTAACAGAACACTGCCAAGCAGAGGTGCAATTCGAAACCTATACCCCACTAACTTTTAAATCCGGCGTTGCGTATGTTATACCCACCTGGTCATGGTATAAGGGTCTGCCCAGAGAGATTCGCATAAAAACCCACCCGATCTATAAAAATTTACCGTACATCGTTAGAACTAGAGATGTGGAAGCCCGTGAGGAATTGGGGTGGCACCTTTACCGCGTGCAAATGGGTTATCCAGACACTACTCTGTATTTCCGCGTCAAGTGGTGTGGTTTTAATGAGCATTTCCAGAACGCACTACTTAGGGCAATTCAGCAGCGATTAGAAGGCGATCATCTTCATTTAGAGGCCAGACTTAACGTTGAGATCTTAGCCCTGCTTACGAATATCAACCCGTCGAGAAATAGTTGAGGCCAAAACGCACGATGACGGTAACATAGCCCCTAAAAGGCTGCTTGGCAAGAGTTAGGACACTTTAAACCGGGGAACTGCCGAGACGCGGGTAAATGACTGCGAGTGGGCCCAATATTAATCTTTAATCTCTGTGCGTATCACATCGAAAATAAAAGGCAACATTTCGATCTATTCTGAATACCCCCTTGAGATACCTATTGGGGTTGAAACTCGGGAGTGAGCACCGTAGTGGCTATCAGTCGGTCCTGACGCGTTATTGTGATTTGGGTACACTTATCGTCCTTTGGTGAGTGCTTTTCGGTGATAGATATATCTGCTTGTTATTTTCTCACAAAATCAACATTTGCTGATAAAAAAAACAGCAGTGGTTTCTGGTCCACGACGATTACCAGAGCATTAGAATAGCCTCTTCCAGCAACACAATTTGTATCCAATCGAGGCAACTTTAAAATAATTAACTAGTTACTTACCTCGGGGGATTGACATGGGCCATCTTTAGTATGTTTGAATCGGATTAAATCGTGCAGTCACTGCTGTAAAATCAGTGCTGTGGTAATTCAACGACCTCTAAGTCGTCAAATTCAAACAAAAAAATAGCCGTTATTTAATTTAGGCTCGTAGGTCAGAACCACTAAAAAAATATTGAACACGATTTTTGTTAGACGAGTGTCCGACTGCCACCTAATTCATTCTACCGCACTATTGGACAGTAGATGAACAGCTTATTGATGAAAATAAAAATGTTCTGCTTCGTAAACATGACACAGACTTGCCTGTTAAAGTATAATAGAATGCAGGTAGTATTTACTGAACTAGGTTACAAACTAGGTCAACCTCTGTTCGTTTGGCATTTATATATTTTGTTTACGATTCACTTTACATTGTTAGAGAATAACAGAGCAATTAATGTTGTTGTATGTCGCAGCTCACTGTGAATATTTTCGGAATGACTGCTGATTTGTAACAAAGGGGTTTACTTACTCCCTGACACTAGTGTCCAACTTAAATATACTTGAGGCTTGGGTGATTTTTGATTTTTCCGTTTACAGTATACTTATTTGAACTTTACTTTAGCAAGTGAAGTGTGTCAACGGTTCGGCTGCAGATGTCAGTATGGTTTCCAATATACGACATCGTCAGTTGGACATAATGAATAGGTGGAACCGCAGAATGAGCGCTTTACTAAGAAACTCATAGGTAAGATCTGACAGAATTTCGGTTGTGTTAAATGAGGATGTGTCTTGTCTTTCGGTGAGTGGTTCTCAGAATTTTCGTTCCCGGTTTACATTCAAGCACCGTCTCTCGTTCCGCTCTTTCTATTTATTTGAATTTCAAACGCCATATCCGCCGTTGCGTGTTTAAAAAACCTCGAACTAAGTAAAAAAAGAAGAACAAATAGGATAACATACGGTAGGATGATCACTATTTTTAGGGTACCTCGGAGCGGTAAGCTATACCCCGTCATCAACGTAGCTCATCTGACTGCCAAGGGTGGAGATGAAAAATGAATGATTACGACGACGTCAGCTAAGAAATATACGAAACTAGTTGTGCTTTCCATTATAGAGGCGAAGATAGGCTCCCAATACAAGTGTAAATGCATCATTTAAGCTCTTACATTAATGAGCATACAATGCATGAAACGCAATTGTCTTACCGGTACCTATCTCTGCTGACGACAAGCGCGTTAGATTTTCAGATAGAACAGTTCATGCCCCCAGACCATATCTGCAAGCTGCCACGGACGATCTGCGAACGTGCGTGCTGCAGAAGAGAAACTGGAACGCAAAACTTAAAAATTTTAACACAGATAATAACGTTTTGAACGCAGTACGAATATTGTGTTAGAAATGAATGAGCTTAGAATAGCTCTTGAGTACTGATGAGTCGATTTTACGTGTGACGCGGCTGCGAGTGTTTGAGGAAATGGGTTTGGCGCGTTTTTTCAAAACGCCGGGGACTATTGGTAGAGGTTAAGAAAGTTTTTAGAGGAATAGTTCTTCAAGGTATCTCACATCTTGACGGATCGTCAGAAGTAACGCAATGGTTCTGCTTAATATCTATTTTAGTACTGGCTACGGGTTACTGCAAAAAACAGCGGTGTGTCAACACAGTTTCTAGAGTTATACTGTGACAAAGCGTTCATTCAAAGCTTTAATTGTCGGTTAACTTTTGCAATAATTTATTTGTATATGTAGTTGCCTTTAGGCTAGCATTAATTGGTAACTCATTTAGCGAGTACCAGGGTTGGATAGAGAGTGGCTCATATAAACATAAAATTTTTCGTAATTTATTTTCAAGTGGAACCTTTTATGTGCCAGAAGTGTCATTCCTGGTAATTATGAACATCTATTCACTTCGATTAGAGCTTCTATTTGGGACCTGAGACTAGTAATTTTCAAAATATTTTTTAGCCCATAAATAGCGATTATGAGTAATCGCTCGTCAAGTAATATTAACAGGTATTAACTCGGTAAAGTGTCGCTCAAATGCGCTGTGTACGAGGGACTCCAGCGGAATTAAATGTCAAGATGATTTCTAGAGTCCCTAAAATGTAAAAGGAAAAAGTAGCCAAAAAGTCCACAAATTCACTAAGACTAATCGTTGAAGTTAGTTGAACGACCTAATCGGCAATAGATACCAATGTTTTCTCGAAGGCCGTTGTTTCTGCATCTGGACGTATTAAAAATAACTTTTTGAGCCGTTCTTATAGATTTTCATCTCTCCAGGTTTAAGGGTTTTTCAGTTTGATTAATAGAGCCCTTTCTCGGATTTTTCAGAGGCCACATAAAAATTGGCAATAACGTGGACCGTTAATGACCAACGTGAAGAGACTGGGTATAGCCGATCTTCGCTCAAACTTCGAAATCGACGCTTTGTTGATCGCTATGACGAAGCTGTGTCGGAAAAAACTGACTTTCGTCTGGTACTAGAAGTAGCCAATGAATGCATGGCCGTTACTGCGCACGTAACAGACGCAGTTTCTCCGAATTTGAACGCATAGCCCTATATAGACATAACCGGCTAGTAATCTTTCGATGTTAAATTTTCTTCAACGCCAAAAAGAGGTCCATTTAATGTAACCTAACTGTATAAATCCCCGTACAACATTTCTAATGATTTTAATGAAATCTTTTGTATCAACTACTAAAGCTGTGTGTTCCCTATTCAAGCTCAGAGTCAACGCTTTTCGGAAACCTTCTATCTACATGGCTAGACTGACCGAAAAAGTGTTTAATTTCCGACAAACATGACCGTACCATCGGGACTGTCCATCTTGGTCTATGTGTCAGGACTTCGTGTCCAAAGCTAGACCAGACTTGAAAGCAGTTGCGCAGCGTTCAAATTCAACCTTCGCTTAATTTTCATCTTATTAATTAGTACATTCCTGGTTATGGATGGGCAGCGGACAATATTTCTGCATAAACCTATAGCCAAATGATGCATCTGTATACTAGATATTTGTTTCTGATGCCTAGTTTAGGCTTTTGCTTTGTGAAAATCCGCCGAAACGGCAAGCCGTCAAAGGCTTCCTGAAACTGTGTGTGACAGTGGACTAAGCAGCGGTGCTTTTGTATGCAGTATCTCTATAGCTACTTTTCTGTGAAAAATTATGCTCTATTCGATAGGAGCCAATGACTTTACTGTAGGATGTAAGGACAGTGAATCGAAAAGCCGGCTGACTGAAAATTTGAGGGAAGAGGTTTGGAATATTTTGTCTACAATTAGACGTGCTTTAATTTTTTTTTCTTTAACGCTAAACGTCTATGTTGAAGCACACTTATCCAGGTTTATAATGTTGCAGTCAAAAATTTCACAACCAGAATAGATTATAGTGCCTGTCTAAAATTAAATCTATCCAAGTAAAATTCTCAGTGTAAATCTAGTATATGACACAAAATGTTTGATAGAACCTCTAACAAATGCCACATGTCACAAAGTACAAGAAGCCGTTTAAGTAGTTGATCTACGTCAAGTGTTTTCGCTTTGACGTTGGATGCCTCTAATGTAAAAGCTGGGTCTTAAAAATTCATAAGTCCCTAAATAAGTATGCTGGCTTACATGTTTACCATCATACGCAACCTAGGCTAACTCATTTAATTAATTAATAACACATTATTATTTAGCTCTGTTTAGAAAACATCTAGCGCGTAAAAATTTCCGCATCCAACCTACCACAGTATTTCCTAATAAGCACCGTAGAAAAATTATTACTAAAGCTGAAATATACTATATATTTATTTATAATTTGTAATGTACAAAATATACACACATATAAATATGTAGAAAAATATATTTGTTTCGCTTACTTAATCTATTCGTGTGTGTATACGTACATCGCTTCAAAAAGTATCCATATGTAAATAAATCCATTTGAGCTATAAGTTAAATATCACAGTGCACTGACTAAGGGTGGGTGTTGCTGAATTGATTGCGCAATCTCTCATAGCCAAAGCCATCCAGCCTTGCCGTGCGGTTGAGCAAGTTAAATAAGTATTTAATTTTCAATATTTAACTTCACTAATTTTAATGGTCAGACATTGACTTATTAGCTTGCTACATCTCTAATATCAAGGGGAGCGCTCCCACAATGGCGCACATCGGTAATAAAACCATGCACTCTAGCAACTCGTTGATTAGCAATGCAATACTGTCTAGTGTGGAGCGCCATTGGCGTCACAGTTTGTTTTTTTTTTTTAGTTTTTCCCTTTAGCAGTGCGACACAAAAGACATCTGCTATATTAAAGAAAGAAATTCGCATAAACGGACAGAATTCCTCTCAATAATAAATATCAGCCATTGTATCAAGAAATACGCGTAACAATATAAGTTCCAATCAAATATCAAGGCTTTCTCTGTAGGAATATGAAAAAGCAATGCAAAATTACGGGGTTTGTAGCACTTATTGGTCTGCTAATGACGCATGCGAGTAAGTTGTGGGTTGACGTGGACATCTAATGCGATAGGAAAACATTTGAAGTATTATGGGAAAATAAACTGAATTTTAGAGAAGATACCGAAAGTGTATAGTTGCCATTGTCTCTAGCATAATAGTTACTGCACAGCTATAATACCGACCGAAAAAGTAGGTAGAATTATTTTCTTCAATGGCTAGTTCGAAGAAGCTAGATTTCTTGAGCCCGTCTCAAGTAGCGGTAAATGCTATATCTTCATTCAATTCACATGTAATCTACTCATCTACATAGTATATACTATATACAAAATGCAGACACAAGTCTTCTCACGATAAAGCATAGATCGTCACAATGTTCTCATCACCATAGATGAGTCAGTTTCAACACGAAGCCCCTAAGCGATAGCAGGATTATCGCGGCAGGACCTTCGACAACAATGCCTCTGGGAACATGCTTGGCGTGTCCATCCACATTATCCACTACTGACAAGCCTCGAATCTATATAATGTTTTCTTGAAACCTAGCAGACGAAGCTTTCGAGGCTGCTGAGACAGTTTAATACGCGACTTCACTTCCCCATGGACGGTAGGGTTTTACTTCAGAGGTGGCGGAACAGGGCGGAATAAAGTATGGGTGATGGCTAGGCGCCGTCATCGGATGCATCATCTGGCCCATAGTGGCGCCCCCTGTCGGAGACGCTTGCGGAGGTGAAGACGCAAGAAAACGCGACGTCGGCGTAGGCGACGAATATGGCGCATAGGCACCCATGTCACCAGGTTGTGGTCCGCATCCCGGGTGAGGTGGAAGACTTGGTGATTCCGGGGGGTTCCAAGTTGCGTTAGGACTTGGCGGATTCTTTATTGTCGATGGCGTCGGTGTCGATGTTAAACTCGGCAACGGTGCATTCTCTCGCTGGTTACCGTAACACTGCAGATGTGACAACAGTCGAAGTCGTAGAGGGTCCTGAAGATCCATACCTTCGACGGCAACGAGGTAACGGGCAACCTCTGAGGCGCATTCCCTGAAGCCGACACGATGGTAGTCCATGGCAAATTTCTGAGGATCATTTGCAAGTGCACCAAGTCCTTTGGCTTCGAGTCCTCGGAGATGCTCGACAGTCATCTGGAGAATTTCGGCCTTTTCGAGTTTGGCCGAAGCTTGCTTCTCAAAAGCTGCGGGCACCAGACGGCGGAGTTCGTTGAGGCAGTTGTTGATGCGGTCCCGGCGTTTCTTCTCGATCGCCTATAAGATTACGAAATGAAACCGTGATGGGTCTACATTGTTAGACTAAAAGTATTGTGATACTTACTTACTACATGCAGTGTGCGCATGCTTGTAGAAAAAGTACCTGCAGTAGACTTGATTTAAAGCTGTTAAATATTGAATATACAGTTCATACATCTGTTTTTTTTTCAAAATTTGTTCTAATATATATCATTTGCATTATAGCAATATTGTGTGTTGATACCCAAAGCATATGCTCCCCAAGCAAAAATTCCGCCAATGCTCAGTGTCCACACGTAATCTAGTTCATACAAACGCATGTGCAAATATGTGTTCTAAAGGCAACCACTGTGCTTATTAGGCTTCCTATATACATTTAAAAAAGCTTACCCCCCGCTTGCGTTTCTTGGGGCCTTCCTTGGGCCCTGGTGGGGTTGCCCCCGCGGATGGCAAGATCGTCGCAGTTGGAGGCGCCACTACACCCATGACACCCATTGGATGCACTGGAGTCATCATACCCATTGTCTGCTGGCCTGTGGGCGCATAATATGGGCTCGAAGAAAACATTTCGAATTTTACGGTTTTTAGATTTAACGATAATACTGCTTAACACTGTCACTCATTAAACCTTTTTCGGTGACCGTTCCCAGTACGCTGTATTACCACCTGTTCATGTTCTTGCGAAATCACCTTCTCCACGAGAACAACAGCAATGAGCACGAGGTTTATTTGTTCTATACACAAACACTATCGAGTCCTAAGTACGCAAATGACTGAGTCCGACGAAACGTTTTCCGTAGATTCTCCTTTTCGTCACAACGAAATGAGCCTTTGCTACCGTGATAACAAACAGCAAAGTTAGACCAGCAGATATCATAACCATCACTGTTTTTACAACCAACACTAAAACTGATTAAGTACGCAACAGATCAGAACGTGGCGGAATTGAGCAAAGTGCGCCTGTACGCAACCTAAACGCAACTGACAAAAACAACAGTCGCTTTGTAATGCTGTCCACCAATGTTCAATCCAGATATGTGACCGGTCCACGTGTTTCACGACCTTCAGCCTTCAGCGTCCCGCACGCGTAAACGAATCGTGTCGCGACACACGAGCGTCGCGCCGTCGTCGCCAACTGAAATTGGTGATGTCGACAGATAGTACCGGCTGCGTGGATCTGCCTAGCTCTGTCAGTTCGTTTAGTAGAAGTCCTTCGGTTCGTACTTTTGCCTCCAGACGAGCTCGTCACGTGCGCAGTCCTCGCGAAGAGTGACACGTGCTGGCTTGCGCCGGTCATCTTAACCTCGTCGAGCGAGCCATCCGCTTAGAACAGCAGGCGTTCGGCGCACTTCGTGAAGTGTGCGAGGCGGAGCGCGCGCCAGCACTCTGAGGGAAAGGAGGAAATTACCGAGGGTGAGGGCGAATCACGTATTGAAACTGGTCTATCGTCCTGTTGTTGGTGTACTAGTGCGCTCGCTAAGCGTGTCGCTCTACACTCTTGTCTGTGTGCGCCTATGCCAAGACGCTGCTTAAACACTAGCGTAAACTTTAGGTTAAAACTAAGTTAAATTTGGCTAACCCAAGTTGGCCAAGCCTATATCACTATCGTCGCCCTTTATTTGCTGCACTCTCTCCGCTTAGTTCGCTGATCCGCTTAATCACTCTCAGTCGCAGTGATCTTTTTCTCTCTCACGTGATCAATGCTGCCGTACATACAGTAATCGGTTCGATCTTCTGGCCTGCGACTCACAGTCTGGTGTCTACGAACAGGCTCTCAGTTAATACTAGGCCACTCTCGACCACCGATCAGACCTGGACAGAGAGAGTGGTCGGTGTGTGGGAAATTTAAAGCTTTCATCGACCCGTTCTGGATAGGGTGGCACGAACTAGTGAAAGAACATTGAATCACAATTCAGATATTTTTAGGTAGTAAGTAACCCGTAGATCTGGTTAGATACATATGTGTATATTGTTTGTTCGCATGTACATGTATTGTAAGAGCTTGCACAGAAGCAATGTGAAGACGATTATCTCATTGCGTTTTTCTGTGTACTTAATTCCTGTATTCCATATCTAATCGCTAAGTCGTAAATAACATAATTGACAAATTCAACGGTACCTTGTGTCCTACACAGCTTATCGAAACAATACATTACATTAAAGATTTAAAAGTAATTGGTGACATCCAAGAGGAACGTCTTAAGTCATCAGACAATAATCATCGTCGTACTACTACTTTTATTTGTTTGCTTTTACAGTCGAACACGCGCGCGTCGCATTGCAAAACCCTCCTAGGCTACCCGCATCATACTCACTTCGTACTGTCCCTTTTTTGTAGCGTCACTGCCATAGCAATGTCCCAGAGTGCCATTCTCAGAGTGATGTAGTTGTACCATTCAGCTTATCAGCGCGTGTCCTTAAGTTTAGTCGGGGGTAGGCTGAACGTGCGGGCGACAACAACAGGACGAGAGCGAATTTTTCAAAGAAAAAATGAGAGAGTAAGGGTGTAGAAGTACCAGAACTGCGCAATATGTGATCCGTTGTGTTGTCCCATGTGTCGTCAGACCCCTTGGGGATATCCAGCGCGATCTTCTCTTTCGAATAGAAGCAAAAGGGGAGGGCTGGGGCTGGGGGGGGAGCGACCCCATCTGCCCCGCCAGTCACTCCAATAATCTGTAAGTCTTCGCCCTTCGTACACTGGCGGGCATTGGTGAGTCGACCCGTTAGTTCATTGGGTTTATGGGTTAGTGCTGGCAAACTAGCCCTTGCTTGTCCCTCGGACCCAATGTACCGTTAGATGTCGTCTCGAGTTAGTTCACACGGTCAGCAAAGGGACGAGAGCACGACGCTGTCTCGACGCGTGGGAACCGTGGGAATTGCCTTGTATAATCTAGCTGCGGCTGGTCTAGAGCTAAAGTTGCCTGGGCTACTTTCGGGGACCGACTGGACCTAGAATAAGAGTTCAATAGCAAATCACAAGGAAACTTCTAGAGGGCAGAGAGAAAATAGAAGGAGAACGCTGCGCGATTGCAACTGACGGGAACAAAGAACCGCTGGCGCAAATGGGAGTGGGTGGTGAGGCGCGTTCGCGGCGAGGTAAGAGAGGCTGCAGAGCTGATAGACTAACGTGGCTGAGGGATTGGGGGCTCCGTAAAGGTCGATATTGTCTACACAGCCTACGAGGGTAGGATAGCGTTGAAATCGAAGGACGTGGGGGCGAGAGATCCGAACACGGAGAGAACTTGCAATTGCGGGGTGGCCGACAATTGAAGAAAAGGAGAAATTAGCTGTTTGAAACAGACTTCCTAGAGGGTGCCCGTGGGAAAGGAAAATCTGTGCAGGAAGCTGAAGTAACACCAAATCATGATAGAGTTGCTTCCACTATTAAGGCTGATCAGATTATAGCGCCATAAAGATGAACAATACTATTATTTACAGTGACTCCATTATATTGTATCAGCAATGGTGGTAAATTTCTAGATGTACACCTAGCGACAGTACCAACTTTGGAACGTTTATTTACTTATTTACTGGCAATTTTTTTTTGGCAGACGGTCGAAGCAAAAATCAACTAAGATGTTAAATAGATTTCGCGTTGTGACGGAGAAGCACAGCGCAATCTGAGACACAGTGACATACATCGCACCTCTTTAATAATCACCTCTGAAGTAAAAGAAAAAGACTTGTCTATCCATCTTAAAACTGTGCACTATCCAAACAATAACTTTATAACGCCGCTTCTTAAGCAAAGCAAATGCATGTTCTCATTATAACTACTACTATTAATATTTGTTCCAGTAACTGAGGTATCTGGTTTTCGACGGCTGGCGGACGAAACCAATTTCCGCCTGTAACTCCGGTTCTCTAAATTCACCAGGAATAATTGCAAATAATGTGTATCTTCCGATGTATTTGCAGCCACAGCCGGAATTCGGCGTCACGAAAAATAATAATTATTTCTATGAAAGCTGAAATGAATTTACTTAGAATACTATTGGTCATGTATTACTTTCACCCTATACTATTTCCAGGGGAAAAACACGGTAATTGCTTGATAATTCCGGTAAAATTCGTTAGGCTATATAATGCGCTAAAACCCTACTTCCACGAGGCTTAATACTGTAGCCTTAACAGGCAAGTACTTCCGTGAGCTTTTCATTGTATTGTCAATAAAGTTGAAACTTCACATACATACTGATTGAATCGATTTTCACCTATCGTAAACAAGTTCCCGGCTGATTTATTTATGCTATAGGCTTCACATAAGACTAATAGGACACCTAAGTATCTTCCAATGGCGGCTAGTGTTGTTAAAGAGATACTTTTAGTTATCAGCGTAGAAATGGACCTGTCCAAAATGCCTTGTAATTAATGTATTACATACGTTAGTCTGGTGTACGTAATCCATTCATTCAGCTTCTGTAGCAGAAGCACAAATTGAAGTCCTATAACTACAGTACGGCTTTCCTATTTTAATTGAAATTTACATCCTCTATTTCATATCCACATTTCACGTGCTTTGCAAAAAGATCGAATGGTTTCTATTACTAAACATATTCAGCCCGGTACGTTAGCTTTAAAAAATTATATACGACCGTGCGATGTTAATTGCAACCCAATTACATAGGAAGTATGCAAGCTTTGATCGTACAGCTTACGCTAACAAAGCAACAAATATGCACAAAGATACCGGATTATATCAGCCATTTTCTTATTTAAACAATACAGCAAGGCCTATGCTTCTACCGCTGCACCCCCTCAAAAACCCGCAGCTAATCTGATTTGGTGGCCGGGTATGTAAATTTGATAGTAGTGTTTCAGCTAGCTGACTGGCACTCACTAGCGGCTATCCAGCCTTTTGGACCACGTCATGTCGCTGTGGCCACTTCGTATCATTTCCCACTGCTACTGACTATATTCATACGCTCCTTCCCCAAATAGATGCTCGCCCTGTCGCAGAGTACCTCGTTCTTCCCTGCCATATAGTTGTGCTATCCCTTAGATTTCTCCCACGTCCGCGTTGAAACACGGTGGCGACATCAGTGGCGGGGGAACACCAGGCACTACCTCCGGCACTGCCGCCACTCTTCGATGTGGGCTTTCTTTGATGTCCCCAAGGGAATCGGGTGGATTGGGTGAGACTTGCAGACCGAACCAGTCAACAGCGTGGGAACGACGACGATCCCGACTAACTCGCGCATTCTCGAGAGACATTGTACCCGTATTCACTGCCCTGGTTTCTCCAGTATCCATATTTCCTCACAGAATATGGCAAACACCCCCAACTTGTTCGCCAGAAAAGAGAACATATTATATAATACTTCTGACACGCGAAGATACCGTGGCGTGTATGAATATGACAGCTGCGTTTTTCCACTGCAACTTCTGGCTTCATTTCCTGTCCATTAATTCGTCTCGTACGATCGAATGATGTACGTGCATTCTCCAATAAAGGCTCGAGCAGCTTTTGTGGTATCCATTGTCGGATTGGCAATCTCCGCTCACAGACCGAAATTTGTCGGCAATGTATTCCTTTGAACGCAAACACCTTAAATTTTATTCCCGATACAATAATGTTAAAGTAAACGGCTTCATTTCATCCCCTCTCTCGACGTTTTTATCTGTAGACTTAGTCTCCTATATTTAGTTAATTAAACCGCTTACATATCCTGTCCTATTCGTCAACAATCAGCAGATCAATACGTAGGCAAAGATGTATAGTGCAAATGGACTTGCACTGCCCCGACCGGGCAAGAATCGATCTCACTTGGACATATTGTGGAGGCCCTGTCCATGGGAAAAGGATGGTAGCGTGCTACCGAGCCCGGGATCGTGTCGATCCAGACGCTCGTGTGACTGACACATGCAGCCAGCAAGCGTCTTCGTGGAAACTAACAATGATAGATAGAGAGAGAAAGAGTGAAACCATCGTCAGTGTTAGAAATAGCCAATATCCAACGTCCCCCAAGGCTCTCGAAGGCTTCATAGAAGCTTGCTTCACCGCTTGCTGTCAGTCACCGCGCGCGAATCGCCGACGGCGATGCCTCGAGGTTAAGAGCGGAAGCGTGCCGGACGTGTGGCTCACATCGGTACACTGCGCATATGTATCGGGCATAGTCGTACATCGGAGAAGACACGAAGATAATATGACGGAGGGGCCATTTCAAACCATGTACCTGCGCTCATTGGCTGCATGAAGCGCACTTTGTGACGCTGGTGTGTTTCTCACATGGACGCGAACGCTTAAATCTGTGCAGTATGTTCTTGTCGCCACCGTCGTTTTATTGCTGCACACTGCGGTCGACCTGATATGACGCGCCGAATAGAGAAGCTTCGCAGAGAAGGTGTTCGCGTGCGACGACCGTTAGTCGAACGCTGGACCATGTGCCTTTGTGCACGTGCACAAGGCAGATATTCGGCCCAAGCATCAATCAACAGCTAGTGCAACTACTGCTACGGCCAGGGCAGCTCAGTTACCCCTGAAGGAAAGGAAGGGGAAGCATTGTTTTCTATGACTTTAGCGGTATGCCGACAATTGACTGACGGCATGCCGGGCCATGCGTCTTCGTATCGTGTGTCTGTGCGTGTGTCTGTGCGTGTCCATGTCAAGTGTACAGATGCACATGTGCGCATAACATTCTGCTACAATTCGATATGGAAGTGAAATGCATTTTCAACGGTTGCCGTTAATGGCTACCATACCTAGCCAATCTGCAAATAATCTGTTGATTGTTGAATGCTGAATGATGATAGCAGACTAACCTAAACCACCATACCAAGTAGCTTTAAGTTTAATTGCAAATACGTTATAATTGCACCACCACGAGGAGTTGGGGTTAAGGGGCAAAGGCTTCAAGAGAGAGATTTTAAATACAAATATCTACAAGCACGTGACAACAGCCGAGTCAGTGTTTGGACGACGAGTGGGTGCGTGCGTGTGTGGCACCACACGCGGCCAGAGTACGGGTGTATAAGGCAACGTGCGCGGCTGGGCACGTTTCAGTTCGTGTTTGCCTTCAGACCTGCGGAGATTTAGCTGGGTAGGATCCTGTAGCATGTGCCAAGTGCACCTATCATTGAGTCCACACGTTGTAAGGTGGGCAATAAATTCGTTTCACTGTCTTGCTTATAGTGGTTGGAAGAGGCTTGCTATGCCGACCCATATATATCAATCAAATTTTATATACTTACCTTTGTTGATAGTAATCGAAAGCCTCATTAAAAACTTCCATGATTAAATGTCAGCAACGAAATACCCCAATGTCAGAAAAGGTATGTAGAAGGATTTAAAACATGTTTTTGTGATATGGCTTATATGAGCCTTGTTTAGTTTAGAAACCTTAGTTTCTTAAGAAATTCGCCAGACGTCCTAGAGATGGAGCACCTACAGGTATAGTCGAGCACGTGGAAGTCTATTTTTCTTTATAAAGTTTACGGTAGAACTCATGTACGCTAATGTAAGTAACGACATGCCTGTTTATTCGATACGTTTCTTTCCACTTGCTATTCCTCATCACACTCGAGGCAACGAAATCTTTATCTATCTTTATGATTTTTGCTCCCAATTCCTAAGATTCATCTTGAAGGCTTCCATTACTGGCAACTCAAATCGACGACGTTGGTCTTTGGACAGCAGTAGCGAGTAAGCTAAAAAATACGCAACGCAGCTTCGGGTCGCCATGTGTAGTTCCAGTGCTCCTTTTAGGATGAAGGCTTTGAAGCAAGTTAATTGTTGATCTTGTCCATTGTAGGACCCTTCCATGCCTGCATTCTAGACGTAGCGGTTGTAGGTACTTTGAGATCGAACGAACTGAGAGCGGCTGGATGCTAGACACAAGCGATGAGGGGATTTGATTCCCGATACGGCCAGCACTGCCTTCCTGCACCTTTCGGTGACGTGAGTAGTAAAACTTCTGATTTTTGTGCGTAAACAGGTATGCTGAGCAATAAAATGAAATTGTTGAAACCGCTGATTCGCGCATGTTGACCGTCATGACAAGCACCGAGTTACAATAAATGTAAAAGAAATTCCTTGGTACTCCCCGGAGGACTCAAATGTGAATCGGATATCATCGACTTGAATGGAATTACTGAGTATTACGATTTCATATCGCGTAATAAAACGATAGGATACTCAGCCGGTATACAGACAACTTTTTCGAAATGCAAGTACTTCCGCTCCGGGATGTATGAATCTAAACTAATACAGAATACACTGGGCGAAAACCTCTACAAGTACTATGAAGCGTACCAGTGAGGCTGACATATTCGTAAATAGTGATTGTAGTATCAAGGTATCTCATCTGAAGCAACAAAAATCAATCTCGATTAAGACACCTTCATGAGAACAAGGTAAACCCAAATTACGAGCGAGCTGAGTGTGCAGAAGCACTCTACTACCTAAACAGAAATTGACACCAGAGAAGACAATTCGTATAATTGACAAGAGTAGGAACGAGTAAATAAAATCCCTCATCTTGTGGAACTTAATACCATGTAACGACCTGAAAGATTTAGTCATGTTGAAGTTAAATCAAACAAGTAGATCTTCTTTAACTGTTAAATAATAGAACATTTAAAGTCTAGATGTCTTTTGAAGTATTCTCATATGTTTTAACGAAAAAATAAAAATAAGAGGAATTATTAAAAATCTACCTTTGGCAATCTTTGAAAGACTCGAGCACGTTTTTAAACACAGCATCATACAATAGCACTTCTCGATATCTAGTAAGTTAAGGACAGAAATAGACGAGAGCAAATTTAAACAGGCGTAGTTCACTTACTACACAAAGTTAATAGTGATTGTGTGTGCATTTCTTAAATAAAACACGAGCGTTCACTGAGTTAACTAAAATAAAGCTATAGTCGATGATAGGCTAGCTCGCCTAATTTATTTGAGACTGCTATCTTAAGCAACTTCTGGAAGTGTTTCCAAACAAAGATCCGAACCGGATCTTTGTTAAAATGCTTCCTTGAGATAAGCTCAGAAATCAATATCAGAACAATTTAACCTCAACTACCACACGGCTTTTGTCGAGTCTGTTTCTCTATGTTGACATTAAATAAATCAATTATAGTTATTGTCAAAGTAGTCAATAAGCAGAGCATCGGAAGATTATACTTAATTGTTAATGCAAACGTTCCACCAACTACAATTATTGTTTACACCGTTTTACAATATCACGAACCTTGTGTCCTTCCATGCTAATTATTTACACGTATCAGAGCAATATAGGAAACTATTTGAAAATAAAAATATCTCAACTTCCGTACTCAACCACGCGTAGAGCCTGAAATTACTATATATTTTTAGCAAAAGCCATCGAGGATCTCAACTTTGTGTTGAGAACGTCCGTATTCGACAGTGAGCTTTCCCCGAGCTTCGTAAAAGATTCACATAAATGCTCTCAGGTTCGTTTCGAAAGATAATCCGACAAAAAAGACCTTAAACCTCCACACTGACACATCCTTAAGATATGTGCGCTTTGTACTTCCAGAAGCACCTTGAAGTCGGTATGTTTCGAACATCGTTGTGACCTAACATGTATATACAAATTGGGCAGAAGACAGGTTGACGGTGGGATATAACGTAGGGCTAGAGATAAGAAAAATAAGCTTTTTAATTGGAAAAAAATTCATGCCCCTTCAACTATTTTGTACGCTCTTCGAAAGTGGAAATTTAACTTCATAATTTTCGGTTCATTCTGTAGAACCCCGGGCCGTCTAACAGGAACTCTTTGCAGATTTACTGTTATGCTATTTAAGTGTGGGTAGTCCAGACTATAATCAAATAGCACATCACTACAAGCAATACTGCATGTAATCTCTTCAATAACCTTTTGCATATAAAATCGGTTGCTACGCATGTAGGAAATCAATCCGAAGTAATACGACATCCTCCCTAATGGCACAGGACATTCTTGTAACGGCCGGTTTCCAACCTCCGAAGAACCTTTAAAGCACTGTTTGTTGCTAACTCTCTGCACAGTTTCTATGTCTTTATTTAGCCGCCGGACATTTATGATGCTGAATCTTTTACCTCCATCAAAGCTCGCGTCAGTCTGCATCAAAAGTGATGTCTTAGAAATATTGTAATAGAATATCGGTAACGTATCTCGTTTTTGATGTTTGGTATTTACGCCGTTAGGCTATACATTAGGCGCCTGGTTCCTTACATAAGTTTGTTTATGCCCGGATTTGAGCTTCACGTATCCCTAAGCAGATAAACACGCCAGCTACTGCATCATCACGAGGATAACTAGAATATCGGCAATCAATTATTCTCTTTTATTGGTATAATGAGCCTCCTTAGATAACTTATATATAACGTGATGGAAGTATTTAGATCAAAGCAACACGAAAAATGTGTAAGGACCACAGCTACATGCTAGTTATTTTCAATCAATTATTACTTAAATGATTAATAGGTAACAAGACCTAGCTCTAGCTAACGAAAAATGTGGAACAAGAGTTCCGCTAGAGCCCTCTTTATGCATAGAAGGATAGCTATTACTGACTTTTTTTTCTAATCGAATTATCGATGTTATAACGAAAATCTCCTATACAGAAGACCTGCTAGCAACACGGTTTAAGGTTTCAGGCAACCTAGCAATTCCGTCGAAGGGGTATGGAAGTTCGAATAGGGTATGGAAAGAACTGAGCTTCAGAACGAACGTACTTTTTACAAAATATATCTAAGATATCAAATATAAACTGTTTTTCATGCTTTTTTGGCATCTAGGGCCAGATCAGTGAATTTTGAGACTACAGACATTTACTGAGAGACTTGCATACTTTCCTCTAAGTGATTTACGTATCGGTACCCTTAAGATACGCATACAAGTGATCCTTAGAGATCTGCTTGAAGATATTCTCAGAACATTTAGTACCCCAGTAAGTGGATCAAATATATTGAACCACTAGCTTTTTTGTTCCAGCGTACTTTGATTGATTTTTGCCTTTTTTTCTAGCGCACTACTCCATCATCTTTTAACATTTTCGGTTAGGTTCTGCTCCTTTCGTACTGTGATGGCATACATGCCGCTTTCTTTCTGGCGTCCCTGCTGCAAGTTCGTCCCACGTGCAATGCGAGCATCGAAAATTAAATATACATAGCTTCATACCCATGGACTCGGGTAACACTGGTTCAGTCACGCGGTCACGTTAGAAAATCGGGAAGCTGTACAAGTCTTTCTGAATCTCATAAGAACACTTTTCTTACAGTCTCCGTCTGACTTTTTTGCCGCTGTCATTAGAGATAGAAAATGGCTTTAGCAGTAACAGCGAAAACAGTGGCTTTTTCTACATCGCCTTGAAAATAGTGGCTTTTTCTACATCGCCTTGAAAATAGTTTGCCCGTAGTACTAAATCAAAGAAAAAAAATTTATAAATAAAACTTCCTTTCGTTGTCTTATTGCAGTGCCACGAAACGTTGAGTAAATGGTCGTGACGTTATCATGAACCTTGCTTGGCACTTCCAAATGGTTCGAGTCAAGGGCTATTGAAGACGCTATAAGAACTACGCAAAGACGGATCGAGACGATGATCCAGGGTTTGTTCGAATCTAGAGGTAAGATTAGACTGATCGGACAAGCGCCTTTGGGAGTTTGCCTTTTAGCCTCAAGCTACACAGAGAAAGCGATAAAATATGGCAAGTGCCATCAAAATGAGATTTCTTTTTATCATTTTAATTTTCTCTTATCTTCAGAGCCATGGAAGGCCTCTTCCTGCAGGACAAAGTTTGGCTATTTAGCTGTCGAAGGCGAGCGTAAAAAAACGAAGATAAAAAGCGAAAGCGATCAGAATTCAAGATCACGAGAGCGAAAACACATCTATCAATTCCTACAGTTTCGCCAAACCTCGTCCCCACGAGCAGCAAGCAGTGGCTCCCCCTGTCTTAGTCATGAGCCCTATGTATCTGCAGCGTAAAACGCAAAAAAGATTCGAGAGGCATAGGCCGATTTCGAACGCGAGCTCGTGAAGCGCAATTCGGTGAGCCGACAAAAGATGGCAAGCTACGCCGGCTGGTGTATTTTAAAGACAAGAGGATGGTTTAACTTTTTGTGTATGAAATGCGACAAATGAGAATATCCCTTAAATGAGTGGGTCAGATGTAACATAGCGTACCTGCTGCTGTATTTATTACTAATTGAATGCAATAATTTATTTTATCATATAGCTTCTGTTTCTTTTTCTGCCAAAACTGAAGCCTCATCTTCGGACAGGAAGGTTTACTTGTATCAGTGAAATGCGTGAGTGCCTGTTTCCCGTAATAGCGAGCAAAGACACGTTCGAATTTACAGCTAGATAAGCTCCCCTTCCGAATTTGCCACACATATCGGTGACCGCGAACATACAAAGAAACAAAACGTATGCCTTCTGCGTCCCACGTCGTTGCAGTCTCGGTGAGTCCATCCACTTCCTTTTATGCCAACCGTGTTTTAATTTGTATTCACTCTGTGGTGTCGTCGACACTATATAGCTATAATATTCCGACAAATCGGCTAATTTTGGCTCATCCGGCAGTTTGTTCCTACAAGCATCTGGAATAGACCACTAAATGCACTGCTCTTCCGGGCGCTGTTTGAGTCGTATATCAACCTGTATACACACTATAGTATAAGATCTCTGTTTAACCCAGACCTGCTGAACCCAGCGTACCTAGGTTTTGCTGCCTCTTTATACCAACATCTTTTGGCTTTTGCAATTTTCGCTAACGATGGACGCACTAACACAGCTACTTTATCCGTCTGCAGTAGTTCTAGCTACTGAACTCCTGTGCAGTAGTGGAAATAATCAACCATGGGCTGTGAAAGGTAGTAGATTTTGAATAGACCCCCACCAGGATCTACTCCAAAATTTGGCTGAACTCTTCAGGTCGCGGCACGAGGTCCTTGATAAATTTACACTGTCAGTCCTGCTATTTTCTCAATTTCTGGACCCATTAGAAGTCGATTGAACAACGTACGTATTATATACACCACGTTTCGAGTTTATCAGCAGCCGCCCATTGAAACAGGGCTAAACTAAGAAAGCCTAAGCTGAACTTAAAGATTCCCACGGCATTTGTTAGAACTGTTACATTCGCTATTACAGAGTCCACTAGCTCTCGCCAAAGCTTGCTTCTGCCACTGCTGAGGTAATGTGAAGGCGTTTTTAGGCGAGCGTTTTATAGCTGATGCCATAGCAATATCATTCTGGTACTACATCACGGAGCTGCGAACGAATCGAAACCTAAAACACGGGTTAGAGCTAACCGACTTGTGGCAGCAAAGCTTTTGCATCACCACAATCGTTCGGAGAATACAGGGGCTATATTTATAGACGAACGTTACATCCAAGAGTGTGAGGCGTAAGCTCAGCAAATCTCAATCGGATATAGATGGAAGTACCATTAATTGAAATTATGGGACGCAAGAACTCCTTTTTCCCTTCGGAGCTTTTCTTTGTTAACTTGAAATTGTGTTCGCCGTAGAAATCGAATAATGGCCTATGATAAAGATCTGTTGAGAAAATTTATTTATTTGGAACCCGCTTGTGTCGGTGTATTGCAGTAGTTCCATAACGTTTATCCATATATTATACTCTGTGCGTATCCCGCTGCACCGTGTTAAAATCTTTTTAATATATTTGGGCTATATCCACTGACAGTTGTGTAAACCTCCGCGGTTTATAAATTGTAGTTACAATATAATTTCAAGATTCCGCCTGCTTACAACGAAACCGAATAATAGATACATGTTGAGTTTGTATTCCTGGCAGTTTGTCATAAAATTCTATGACGAATTTCTCGAAACGTATACGAACTATAATATTTTGGCAAAGGTCTCATATTGGGTATTATCTCAACTCGACTAATATATAAAAAAAATTTTCACTTCTACTGCATAGAAGGAAAATGTAAGTAACCGACTTGGAAACGAAGTCAATCGAGTGCCTGGTATTCGTCCAAATAATGCGGCATATCCTGAGGCGTCCGAGGCGAAATTCATGTGACCCGGCGCGACTTGATCAATTAAAGTGCGTAAAAAGGTAGCGACAAAAGTGCCACAGTGCGGAGGCATTGGTGAAAGCTTGCACCATAAGCAAGAGACCTAAATTGGCCATTGGTTTTTCATCTCAATCTAAACCAACTGCCAAGCTTTTTAAACCGGAAATTTCTCTGGAACAAGAAGCTATGTATATCGTTACGTATGATAAGTAATCCGATTCACATTTTTTCTTTTTTTTTTCAAAAATTTCCTTTTTTTTAAAGTTATTCATTCAAAACAAAGTCTCATATTCCTATGAATATAGCGTGTATATGTTCTTTAAATAAAAGCTACTCAATATCGATCGAAACAGCGTTATGCAATATTGGTGAGGCTGTTTTAAAGAATTGATTTAGAACTCAACCCAGTAAGAGATACAGGTTTATTAGATATTAATGGTAACTAGAAATTAAATCTGGTTTTGTTGAAATAAATTGATTTTTCTTAATTTTTTACTTTAAGAATTTTAGTTCATTGCCATAGTCTTTAGTTATTCTTATATTTATAAAATATTAGGGGGTAAATAGGATAAGCTTTCTATCTATACATAATCCGTAGCAGTTACATTGAGTTCAAAATATATATATATATATAACCCATCCATACACTTATTTACTCTACTGCCGTACAATTCTTAAAGAGTATTCTTCGCAAGCCTTTTTTAACTTATTTCACATGACTCTACACAGATACACTATGCTGCTTATATATATATTGGCCTCCTTGTTAACTCTGACCAATTAGCACGAATCTTTGTCAGTATTTTTGTCAACTTTTTTCTAAGCTTGCACGAAGTCGGCTTCGACCGTTTGAACTGAAAACGCTGGCCGGAGTCATGTAAACATTGTGGAGCGGCCGTCTACTATGATATGATATATCATGCTTTAGCTGATTTAGTTTAATTGTCTGACTTACGACAGCGCGAGGTGCTACGTCTCATAAAATTGCAGAAGACATATTGCTTGCTACAGCTCTTCGAATGTAACGCAAACTAACAAATGTTCATCCTCTTTTTTTTTTTATCAACAACGGCTTAGAAAGCTATCACTTGGCTTTTAGGCACATCGGTGACTTTTCCTTACGACAAATGAATACAGGCCTATGTTTATCTATATATGTCTGTTTTTCTCTATACTTGTCCGAGTAAATGGTAAATGTCGTAAATCGATAATTTACAATATAAACAAAGAGGTGCCCCTTCTACAAAGTTCCATTATCATATTATTAACCTGGGACTCAGACTTTATTTAACCTTATTATAATTAGGTAACAATAAGTTGGAAACTCTATTTCAGTGAGATCAAACATCTCTCTCAATAAAGCCAACATTTCATAATATATTTATTTGAGTACGATAATCTGTTGACACGTACTCTTATTACACTATCACCATAGTTTTCCGGGATTACCTCCAAACGAGACGGTCATTATATCCACGTAAATTTATGGGAGCGTTCCTTCGCAGTATATCTATTACGCACAATATAGTGTGGCAAAGTGTTCTGCCTTTCACCTATATAGATTTGCCTTACTTTTACACGGCCAAATCTTGCCGACTTACTCAGAGATTCACCGTATCGTTGGAAACGTTTTTTTCTTTCTTTAATACTCAAGTATTTACAATGGGAGAGGGTATTGCTAATATAGAAATTTACAGAGATTTCATTTACAAATTAAGCAATCACGTTTTAGTACAACACTATTTAGCTACAGCGTTCGTTCGGAGACAGCAAATTTTGCTCTTAGAACTCATTTACATATAGCGTACATAAGTAGTGAAACCTCTTATTACTTATTTCGACAAACAGTCTCGCATGAGAACGTCTCGACGTTATTAAGCGGCGTTCAACGACATTTTCTACTTCTAGTCAAATGGTCCTCTATAGAAAACAACACAGTATTCGGAAGCAAACGATATTGGTGAGCAATGCATGTACTACGTTGAATGTGCAGTCGATCTATTCAAGTGAAGTTATCGATTATTAACTTGTTCCACTGTTTACTTTTGAGATTGATCGAATCGCATTCTTCTACTAGCAACACAGTTGGCACACGGAAACCATTTGCCATCTGTGCTTTTACTTCGAAGCATTATTTTATAACCTATGGTATATTACATATTTCGATGTGATTTTATCTTCAAAGAAAAGGTCACACGATCTTTCTTTGCTGATGTAGGAAAATCCAATTCGTACGGTTAACAAAATTAGCTCGATGATACCACCAACACAATTTCTAGTACGTAGCTCGTGTGCGCGTGAACTTGTGGATTCTCCTACGAGTATTCTTACAGTATATTATGCTATAATATCTAAGTAGTATTATTACAGTACAGCTATGATACCTATACAGTATCATTAGAGTACAGATTACATACAGCAAAAGCATTTTTTTTTTTGTTTTTTTGTCACGAAGTATCGGAGCGACTTCGCGCCGATCGCCGTCTGGGCAGGCCATCGACGTGCTCTTCCGGAAGATTACTTCGCCGAGCTTTATCAATTTCGAGAATCTTTTGCACCGCCAGGGATCGTCGGTAGATTTTCACGCCTTCACGCTTGTAGAACAAGTCAAGAATATCGCCCATCGTTTTGTCCGGCAGGTACTCAAGATACCTGAAATAAGTTGCATTGCATGCAATACAAAAAATTACAATTTAGCAAACACTAAATCACTATTTAAACTCTGCACAAATGAAACCTTCAATATCTACAGATTTGTATGACCCGGCTGGCTCGTAATAACGGTTGAAACTGGGTCTTCAATAAGTATAGGTTAATTAATTGTTAAACCTATCGTAAGCCCGGACTAGACTGAACCATAACCAACGCAAGAAGTATTCGAAGAGTCCTATATTCGATAATCTCGGAATATTATATACCAAATAAACATAGAACAAAAATTTGAATGGGTCATTTAATCTACGACGCAAATGAATTTCGCTAGTGCAGACTATCGAACTTAGAACAAACAAATCCAACTACTTAGCAATATCACATCAGGCAATATTTGGAGTATCACGCAGTGTACACGTATTGAGTCACGACAGTGACGTTTTTCTTAACATTAGATGGATAAAAATGATGAGCACTATATGATGCCCTTTCGTGAGATTATAGAGGCAAAGCGGGAAACACGACATGAAGAGCGGTCGATTTGTCTGGTGCTGAGGTCGGCACTGCTCGGGACTGATTTATTGTTTAATTTGTAGAAATATTTATTAGAACACTTGCAATGGCCAGCCAATATCATATGGAAGCATTTGAATCAGTTAGTAAAACGACACATATTACGTGAAAATCGTATACGAAGCACACACACACACACACACACACACATATATATATATATATATATATATATTAACAGCAAGGTGACAGTTTTCACGCAAAAAATCTTTCCAATCTTTTTCGCTGTAAATCATCAGCAACAGAGCTCATTACAAATTGCAGACTGAATTAAAAGTTCATGGATTCACAGTCAAGTATTCATTTTTCATTTCGTTTTTTTTTTTATCTAATTGTCGACACGGACCTGGGAAAGTCTTGGGCATGCCTTCGAAAACATCGACCGTAATTAACAGTTTCCGCCGAACTCCATTTTACCGGTCGGGGTATAAGTTTTTCTTCACCTTCCTCATATTCCGGAGTGAAAACTAAATCTGCCGGATGCTCCGGAGAAATTCGTCCCTCTCTATCAACGACAACGTCCGGCAACACCTCAACTTGGAACTCGGAGCCAACTCTCGGCTCTTTCGGTGGAAACTTCAACCTCTCTAAAGACAAAAAAGACTCCATTGTCTATTAAATGCGTCGCTGTGATTCCCATAAACTTTGAACGACAGAATGCCCTTGCAGAAAGTGTTTCCTTTAGATCAATATTTTACAATGCACCAAAAACCTCGATGAGCCCAAAGGCACGACATCGTGCACGAGCCATTCATTCCCTTCCACGTTCTTTTATCACACACAAACACACTCCGTATTGTTTCTTCGAAATACGCATAATCTAATTCGCCCTAAACAACTTCGATATATCGAAGACAAGGGAAGCGTGCAAGGCTTCTCCTGGTTGCCTCCGGCACTACAGTTTGTAGGGTCCGCTCAGTTCAGTTGAGCCGGATTGCACTGGGCTGATGCATGTGGCTGGCCCTGCTACTTGTTGGCCGGTGAAGTCGCTGGCGGTGTTGATAGAGGGAGAAACTTGGGGGTATCAACACACAGGCAGTTTGTCGTCTGAAACAGTATTACCCGGGTAGCGGAGAAAAAGCTGAGAAGCGCCTCCTACCGGCACGCTTATGAAGTGCCCTGTACCCAGCTTTAAATTGCGATGGCAGAACAATCTTACGAAGGCAGAAGATCTCGCGTATAATAGAACAAAACAGAACGCTTGCTTCTGTTTTAAAACAAAAAGTGTTATCAAAGTCGAAGAGAATAGATGATATGCAGCTGATCATAATGGTTTTCCTTACTATTATTGTTATTATTACTACTATTTTTTAGACGAGAGGAGATATTTTTAAGCAATTTTGGAAAAAAATGTGAAAATATAATCCTTTTTTTAACCTCTAATACCACTTTTATCATTACACAACGATGTTAAGGTTTAATATATTGAGTTCATAGTGTATATGAAGTAAACTTCCTATCATTGCTTAATGCGTGAATATGGTGAACTTACGAGAAAGATTTTCATATACTTAAGTCTATTGAATTACAAGCAACAGCCTTATCGCGATAAATAGATTGAAAGGGACATCTAGAAAATCTAGATAGTAATTATAACACATCGAAGGGTAATAGTTAAAGAAAATATTGATTACCGGGAAAGGAGTCTAGATCAGAGAGATATAAATCGTGCAGGTTGCAATTATCATTAAGTTAGGTATTTTACCCTTCGATATATGGTGTGGCAATAAAATCAACGCAGAAAATCTGATTAAGTGCAATTATTGAGTAAGCTAGCGCAAAGGAGTCCTCGCTGGGAATATGGGATTAAAGAAGGCAAGAAATAAACATCAAAGCAATTTCAAGTGAATATTTAAATTTAAAGAATAGTTTTTAGAGCTCTGTTATTCAATAATAAACCAAACAATCATAAAAAAGTTAATCCCTGAGATTAATTTGCAAGCTTACTACATTATGCAAGTGTCAATGCAGAATTTATCCATCTTATGCGAGGATTTAATTTTATACAACTCCTAACGTCGCATCTAATGGAAGATTGGTTTGTAATTAGAATATATACGAGCTATATTGTTCTGTAAGCATCTCATAAAATGAACATCTGTATTTCCTCGCCTCGTTTCGTGAACCCGTTAGCGCATCTCTTCCTACTAAGATTTAATCTTTTATTTTTTCACAAGAATTATCCCTTATTTTTGTATCTATTACATTTCAGAACTGCACTACTATTCATATGGTGAAAGAAAGCTAAATCACACTTATGTCGAAAAGGATATTTTACAAAACATACGACTAATTTTCTTCAACCCTGAATATTTCAATTTCTGATGTACCTATTTTAATGATACATTTGCAATTATTTTGTAACCACATTGACTGGCATGCATCCTAAAGTAAAGCGGACCCTATGATCGAAGTCTTCGAGGCCGTTTCTAAGCGATCTCTTACAACGTGTCTTTTTATATAAGTAACAAAAAAACAAACACTATGATCAGCACGACGCGCCAAACTGATCCGATTAGTTTGCCGCCAAGTAAAATTTATTTATGAAACAGCCTCACATTGTTGAATTAATCTGACACCGATTTCTTCTGCCACATCAGCTCTCGCTTGTTGGCCCTGCTCCGTCGTTTTATACAATACCACGCATCTAATGTTTTTGGTACGTACATTTTTTAATCTTGGTTGTTGTTCTTTTCTCCACATGGTATTTATTTCTATAGTAAAGATGCACGGCTTCGGCTTGAATGCGTACTTTTTGAACAATTCGAAGCACTTCGCATTTAAACCTGATCATATTTATAAGTTAAAACCCATCCTCATTTGAATCTCAACTAGTTTAGCATATCTACTACTTTCTGTATTGGTGCTCAATATGCTTCCATAGTTTGCCTTTATTGTAACTGTCGAAAATCATCTCCGCAGCGACATCAGTCGCCCGCTCAAAGAAAAACGCGCCTGTGATCATAGCCAATGCTAAAGTCGACGAACGCTTGAAGATTAGATCGTAAAGACCCATGTTGTATTTAGTCGAAGGTAATTCGTCAGGGACAGTCGAAGTCAGCAACTCCTGTATGGATAAACAATGAGCAAAATTAAATGTTTAATTTATAATTTCATGGCCTACGAACGGCCCCTCACTGAATCAACATTAATATGATCTATACGTACATAGTAACATTATTTAGCACTACACAAACAAACCAACTACAAAAAAGCTTCCAATTTGTGGTAATCCAAGCTTCTATTTTGCGGTAACGTCTGCCCTTGTTGTGTGTATGTATTTTAGCTAAACTAATTAGTAATTTAGCACATGCTTATAAGCCTTCGCAGGCAACCTGGGAGGCTTTGCTCAACTCTAACACTCAAGACATTATCTCAAAGATGGGAGAGATGGGGTGATACGTACCGAGATAACAGTCAGCAGATACCAGTAACTGTTTGAGGGGCACTTGTTATAAGCGTAGTAAAAATGTTACCACGAAGTGGTGCAAAAAAATTCAAAAAATTATGTTGAAAGAACCCCATTTGTAAGCCCGGCATGACTGGCCACTAAAAACGAATACACACATCAGAATGCACATACTAAGCGATCATTTACAGTACACAGGGCTAAATTTTGGCTTATCGAAACCATGAACTCGGCATGCCCCTCGAAAAATTTTGCAAAGGTTAAAGTAATTGGAATATGCGGTCGGCACGGAAGAGGATCTTGTTTAAAAAGGCTTCTGACAGTACTGCTGTAAGATATCCACCGCGTACTGTCCGTTCGCATAAGTTTAAATAATTTTTTACTGACAGTTTTTACCTAAAACCAGAGTTTTATTTGGAGATCCTATTTAGAGGAGAGAAACAGAGTTGTAGCCATTCGTGAAGACAATTAATCGTAATTAGTTAATGATAATTATACTACCTATATATCCTATTGCACGATTAAGTGCTACCTAATTAACATTTAATTGCTTTATACGCTTTGAAAATGTTCGGATCATGGTATTTCAGTAATAAATTTTCGAAGAAATTACCTGGTTCTCCTTGGTTGAACACAGCCCGGACGACCTTTTCGATAAAGAACAACAGTCTGGAAACAAGAATAGCCGATTGTGGTACACTGTTTTGAACCACAAAAGTACCACACATTCAAACACAGCATATGAGTAATCTTTTCATATGGTAGTCAACTTGTATACATATCACAATTATTTCGTATATGAAGCAATCTAATTAGATCTCGAAGTCAAAAATCTGTATTACGTTCACTTTTATAATGTTTTATGTGAATGTATAAAAAAAATAGTATCGCCAATGGTGCCACATTTTACCGCGCGATCATTAGGGATCAGTTAACTCATAATACATATTTCGGTAAGTTGCATGACTGACTCAATCCAAGAAGAATCTGTATTGGGCTAAATTAAGTAGAAAATGAATCTAACAGTGTCGGGTAAATGGTACAAAATGAGTAATATGATTGATCTTATGAGACACTGTACCCCAAAGTGTCATCCGGTATTAAACAATACAAGTTGTATGTTTCATTGAATGTAAGCAAAATATTTGTCACATTAATGCGATATGGCCGCACAGAACATGTATTTGTCTCACATGTATGAAATCATTTTTTTAGAATGTTCAAATAACGCTCAAGTAGTAACGGAACTGAAACTGCAGTCGATAACCAAGCGATATCCTAATTTCGTACCGGAAAAGTACTTTTGCAAGATTATTATTTGGTAATAAATAGGTGCAGCTGAACAATAAGGATGGAAGGGCTAATCAATTAAAAGCGTACCTACATGAGGAACTATTATTGGCAATGCGCAAGTACTTTGAGACTCTTCAGGTGATGGACATTAAGTATTTTTTTACTTATTTTCTAACTGTGAAATATTTCTAGAGCAAATACAAGTTCAGTTATATTTACGATTTAAAGCATCGTTTATTTTCATTTATATTTTATATACCGTTGTCTCTGATTTAGTGCAACAATCAACTTCAATTAATACATCTTTACATATATAGACCCTTTTAGTTTTGCTACCTGCTCTGTAGATTTGCTCATTCTGAAATTACAGTTCTGACTGAACTTTACCTACGCAGTAATTGTTGTGCGGTAAATAAATTTCTTCATAAGTAATTAGGTTAGGCGTGGGCTTTAAGTTCTAATAAATGACCGCCAAGCGATGAATAAAATCTAAACCAAGTATATATATATATATATATAGGGTAGCGAAAGATTCAAGACAATTCAAAAAAGGCTGTTGTATAGAAATTTTTTCGAAATTGTTTAGAACTTGTTGTTGCTTCACCCTGTATATCATACTTTAAAATTTGCGGCTCTGAGATCGAAGCTTTCTTTTTATCTTTTGTGTTGTCTATTTTAAGTCCACGTAATATCCATATCATGAGATTTCAAAGAACTCTCAGTTGAAATTTGCTTTGAATCTGAGTTGTATGAAGCAGTTGATAAATGTATGATTCGTGCCGCGGCCGAGGTCACAAGGTCTAATAATAGCAATTACAGATAAAATTTACTATTGCCGTATTGTTTCTGCTATGCTATACAACAAAAGATCATCATATAAGAAGCAATAGTGCGAAGAAGAAATTTAATTTTTACGTGAAAGAAATATTACCAAGTCTGAACTTTCTTAACAATGTTTCATATTTTATATCCAACACCTAAGCCGGCTGACATTACTTCAAACGGCTGGCTCGTTCCAGCATGAAGCGGCGCTTCCTTAACCATTTTATACGAACTATTTTTGAAAAATTTGAAATTAACAGTTTGTGGCGATTCCGTCAAAAAATCACATTAATTATTACACGTTAATCGCTTCCCCTAATTATATCGACATCAAAGTATAGCCGTTTGGAACCATTTGATGTAATAAGTGATCTATTTTTTTTTTCTATTATTTATTTAGCATTAGGTCGAGTCACAAAGGGTGTCAATGAAATCTTCGCGGTTTGCGGCTTGGAACAGCTTCCGGTTGAACTCCTCGTACGAAATGTCGTCACTAACGATCTCTTCGATCACGGAGCGGTCTGGCCATCTATAAGGAAGGTTATCAATATTATATAAGTGAGCGATTGCATAACGACTATAGTCACAATACTGTTAATGTCACTACACGCCAGTGGATAACACCCAGCGCTAGAATAAACCAAACGAGTGAAACAACAGGGGCGAGTGAGTGGAAAGAACGCAAAGAGAACCAATCAGATCGACAAAAGTGGTGAGTATTTCGTATTTCAGTGTATGTAGCAAGTTCGGTTCCTTATATATCTAGATATAAATTATTCAATTATACCATTTTTAGGTCAATCTATGCAATGCTTTGTGAATGACTCTCAAGACTCACTTTACTGTCAAATAAAGGTAATTTTGACCAAGTGGTCTAACGTACGAAATGAGCTGATATTGGATATTGTTCACTTTTCTGAGATATCTCTATGCCATATTTAAAAAATTAAACATGGTGGTCTTATTTACGATACTAGGAAGCATTCCAATGTGTACTTTATGTATATTAAAGTACGAACTCTAATAAGGCAGATTAACCAACGGACTTATGACACTGAATATGTGGCCGTTATATATATTTTAATTTCTTAAGTGAGACTTGGGCGATATGGTGCTATATGCGATATGTGATGGTCGAGTACGCCTGACCTACTGACAAATCTCCAATGTGCCAAGGTGAAACAGAAGCTAAGCGACTTTGATATTAAAAAAAAAATCTGTTACCTTAGAAGATGAACAAGCTTAGAGGGTGCTACTATCCAACAATAAGCAAATCAATGCTATTTGGCTTATCGTATGGACTTAAATCACTTGTACTGCAAGTAACAAACAACGCTGCGGACCCTTATATAATCATACGCCCATAACGGCATGTATATATATATATATAGAAAGAGAGAGAGAGCAAACACTTACAGTGATTTAAGGTCGTCGATCTGTGCTCGTTTTTCTTTGAGTTTGTAAAGTATGCGATTTCTCGAATAGGTTTTATTGCTCAAAAGGATTTTGTCGGCTTCTCGTAGGAAATCTGCAATTGAAATATAGCAGAATCTATTTTGCACTACGAAAATACATAGCTTTTATAAATAAACAAAATTATAAACACATTATAGACATGTTATGCTTACAAGGGTGAGGTCATAGCTGATTAATACTATATTATTTTATAAGTTAACAAATAAAGTAGTGGATTACCTTCATACAGAATGCTGAGCGAGAAGGCTTGAATAAAATCATCAATGGGAAAAGTTGTCCGTGATCTGTCTAAAAACCTGAAATAATTTAGACAGACTTTATTAATTACTGGTCTATGAAAAATTTTTGATTTGATAAAATACATTTCGTAAGTGCAGTAGGTAATCAAAAGTTTTATATGAAAACGGTTCTAAAAATGTTTTTTGCTAAGGATCATTAGTTTAATAATCTATTAACTCTATGCGCTAACTTTTTAAATGATGAAGTGAACTTGCCTGAGAATGCTTTTCTGCACAAAACTCCTCGAATCCCAATGGGGCCATGTGAGCTCAATTATGGAACAATAGTCCCCTTTACTTAGCTGTGTATCTGCAAAAGGTACATTTAGCAAATACGAATTTAGTCTACGTTGTGAAAACAGACACATATATCTATATATAAAACTCAATAGCGCAATCATTTTTCTCAAATTAGAGAACATTTAGATAAAATTCAAGCCCGCTAGCTCCTGTCCAAACCTTAGGAATCTCTGTTGTAGATACTCGTTACTACCGGATACACTAAACATTGAACTATTTAGCCCATGGAAATTTTTAGCCAGCTTGCTTTTTTAGAGATAAAAGGAAAATGCAGCACACTGTTTGTTTTTACAGCATACAATTTTTTTTTTAATGTAACGGTCAACTTAATCACATTAGTGCAGATCTATAGATGAATTATTTTGAAAGCTCGTCTGTGAAAAAGCCACCTACCAATGCATTCATTGAACGGATTTAACGTGGACCGAAGTAACCGAACGACGCAAGCCCGATTATACGGTGACGCGAGTATATACTTCCCATCTGCATTATGTACATGTTCACCACTATTTACCTTGCTGAAACTAGACGTTGACCGATTGAGCAAAAACCAAAAAAAAGGTAAGAGCACATTAAAACGAATTAAAAAAAAAAACGAATTTCGTCATCTTTGTAATTCGTCTGATATCCTCATGTTAATGTGACTCTTCTGTGTTATGTTCGAGATCACCTCAATCCACAGGATCAACCTCAATGACGTATTAATGCTTCAATTTCGAGTAAAGCTTGACTTACTAGTCCTTGAGAAATTCATCAATATGGTCTACACGGTTTTCACTCTGCATGATTTTATTAATAACATCCTCCAGGTACACGTTTAGATAGTGATCCGCTGAAAATGCATCATACAGAGAAGGCCAAGAAAATCAGGATACAGTTTTGCGCTGTTCTATTCAGTTCTAATTGCGCGATACTATGTTACTAGACCGAACCAATATTGACTTTGAAATTCGAACCTGAACAAGCTGTGCCTAGACATCGCATTACTGATCAGCGTTTTATGTTGAAGGATCGTTCATTTCTAATATAGTCATTAGCGGATCGTTTCTATCCGAAATACAATCTCGGGTAGAAAAATGATTCGCTTCTTTTTACCAATGTTTTTTCAACTTAAAATGATCCTGCACTATCGACGTGTGCGATCGACGTGTTTCTGCTAACAAACCATCACATGAACCAGGAAATGTCCGTACCAATATATTGCTTGAGGTCACACATTTCCAATAAAGGGTAATAAGCCTTTGTTACAACGCACACACGGCGATCCTCTGGAAGTGCTCCTATGGAGTGGCCGTCTGCTGAGGAGAACGACACTCGTGCCGCGGTGTATCAGCTGATCAGTGAGTTCTCTAACTTTAAGGAGCTGTTCCTCTTCCGTTGGGGTTTCGCGCAGGCTGTGTTCACAGCAGCCTCATAGCTCCTCATAGGATTGGCATTTCCGTTTGCTACATTGCCCAATCCCGTGTCCTGATGCGTTTGACGCTCTTTCGCTTCTTGAAGCGCTGCTTCAAAGCCGGGCGAAGTCGTGGTTTCTTAACCCACGATAGCAAGTGAAAACCCCGCCCGGCACTGAAAATGGTCATGTTTAAATTAGCTCTGCAGAGAAGTAGGTAGTAATATTCGAATAGCTTTTCTAGTTCGTTAGAAATAATAGTATAATTACTTGCAATAATGGTTGTACAACTGGTCTTGTATCCATATAAGCAAGGAGATAGACTAGAAGTTAGGCATTAGATCTCTGAGATGACGTGGACGAATATCAGTTGCGGGTACCTGAGATTCGCAGCGATCTGATAGCAAAAACTTTGCACCATGTTTTATATATAAATAGACGGCCTACTATCTTTTTTACTCAAACACAACAAGAGAATCTGATCTTAGGTAAAGCGAGAAAAAGACCGTGGCTCAAAGAAAAACCATAGAGCTAAGTAATTGCCTAAGACAAAGATCCGTTTTTTTGTGTACGTATGGCGTAATTTGCAGCTACAAGTCCGAATTCGTTGAAGCCTATCCTAGTGTATGCCTATGATCGTATTATCAACTACTAGCCATACTTTGGCGGAAATCGCCGTCTTTCGTGGGGCTTATAGTTAACATCATTTGAGAATCAAAGTCTAAGGGATAACAATAAATAAAACGTATACCATACTGTTTACCTTAACGAATCCGCATTTCTATTAACTTGTATCTGTAAGTTGCGAACGCGATGTAAATGATTCTGCGATTTTCCTTTCAAGAATCCGAGTTCCCACTTTTTCGGGACCCAAACTTTCATTTCATTTTTTAGACTCCTGCTTTTCGCCGCGCAGGTAATGTCGGCTGTACGATAGCCAAAACTAAGAGTTGTAACGATGTGTCAGAGATCACAAGCAATTTTTAACAACTTGTATAGAAAAGCTGCAGTTAACCTAGGGCATCTTACCTGTAGCGTTAAGAAAATTTTTTAAACAAAATTTATAAAAGGTGTTCAAGGAAATGGGGTCCCGTGAACACCTATGCATCTTTTCGTTGAATTCGTTCATACAATTCGTTGACTGCCTTTCATTGATCGAGACCTGTCGAAAGCCGTAGCATGCCTCTTTCTAACCTACCTCTGTCGTCTTTCCAGCACCTCCGACTTTTGCTGCCATTTCGTTTTCTTCCATCACACCTTAATCCTGAACTTTTACCAGTTTCTCCTTCACCATCATAGTTCCTTTCATCGAAATTATGATCGTCCTACCCTTACAGTAACTCCATCAACGTTGCTTATTGTGGAGGTAATGGCTGTGGTAGTAGTCCCCATATCTGTTTCCATATCGGTACAGCCAAAGCCAGCCAAATAGATTTCCGCCGAAGACGATACCGCTTGCAATGTTGAAAGAAGCAGGAGCGTCGCCACAAGCACAATGTAATTAAAAAGCAGAGCCGCATTCCAGACTGCATTTGCACTGATATGACCAATGATTCGATGCTGTATGTCGGTTCGATGATGTTACAATGGTTGACGATATGGATGCAATACATACGAAGGCAATTAAACATATATGATAGATAAAGTTTCTGTTTTCAGTTAGAGGTGTACACTACATGTCATTAGAAACACTAAAAAGCTACAAGCCAATAATATACTGAATGCTGTTTCATGTTGGTAAAATATTACTCCATCTTTAGCCATTATGAATATAGTTGAACACCATTTAGACTTCTATACAGGTGGGAGTATTGGGTTTTGCTAGAGTTCGAACTTAGTATAGTTAGCTACTAACTTACTAAAGTCGTATAAAAGTTAATTAGTTCTCTGAGTTTGCGGCTTTCTGCCCTTATAAAGCCTATCCATATATAAAGATATTTTTTCAGTATGATAAGTTGTGTGTCCCTGTCCAATCTTTACTGCCTGTTTCGCCACTAATAAAAGCAGATAGAAACTGAAATCTGCACGATTATATATTATTGCGGAATCGGTATCAACAGCAAGCCACATTCTCCAGCACAGAAATGATACGGAAAGCACTAGACGAATAACTGCGTATTTCCCGTAACTATTTTTTAGCTCGTTTGATTACTTTGTGATTTCCTGTTGCCTAATTGGAGTGTTTTTCTCTATTATGGGAGAGTTATATATCATTTTTGATAGTCATCTGATCAGTTTACGTCACCCGTAGTCCATATTTAGTGCCTAGATTTTAAGGAAAATCGTTTGCCTACCATCAGGATCAAGGTTTTCGTCCATTAGATAGGTTCAAGAGTTAGCTAAATGCGATATTTTCTTTCAGGATACAAAAGCCAATTTCTGCTGCCACTCACAATGTAATATTAATCCGAGGCAATTACAATGTGTTTCTGTCACAGAGAAAATATGCGAAGATGTTTATGATGCTGAGCTTGAAGTAATGTCAACTAATGTTGCTGTAAACGTTATGTTTGACAATATCTGGAAGTGGTTCGTATTCGAAATGTACGCATATATCTACGCATTAAAAAAGGTTTGCCATATCGTCTGAAGGCTGCACCTTTGGTCACCAGGAATTAACCACACAAATGAGCGCCTATTTCTAATATCTATGGAAGTGTGAATGTGTGTGGAACAATAATATATTTTTGTCCTGATAATTGACCAGTGTCAGCAAACACCGTCTCGTAGGCGCTTGATAGTTATATGCATATCGTAATTGGTTAGTATTGTTTTCTATTTTCTAAACGAAATTCAAGGAGAAATAAAGTTGTGTAGCATACACAGACCTTCTGCTATAATTTTGGGTATACTTGACAAGTCGATTAGTAGGTTAGTCATCAAAATGTAACGGCGGATTCCCTATTGATGGGATAAATCGACATTGGCAAATATTTCGAAATATAGTTGCACTCTAGACGAGTTTATTTGATAATGACCACTTTTATTACTCGGTAATTTTTCTGTTACCAAAATACGTTGGGAAAGTGGGTTTATATAATGAAATTTTATAGCATCACATACCTACAATCTAAATTTAGAGGTATTGCATTAGCATATAGAAAAAAAAGTTGAACTAATGTATTTCTTTCGACTTGTTGAGTAAGAACTTACTTGACATCCAATTAAGTCTGAGCACGTACTTAGTGCTCTAGCCGTCCAACACGGGACGATGCTTCGACGAAAGGCCAAAGTTAAAACGATGATCATAGTAATCAGATTGCTCTATTAATACTCTAGTCAATTTTGAAATGGCCTCATAAGCAATCATTTTGTTCTTTCTGTTCCAGCTAGACAAGGTGTTATTTAGGCGAGTGGCGTCATTCAGCATTTTACTGAAAACCTGCTTGTGGACATCATCGATTATGTCGAGTTCTACGAAACTGATTCGTGGAGAGAATGACCTGGTCCTGACGGAGGCCGAACTTGCACTTCGAGGAACAGAAAAAAAGCTCGCGTACACACTGTCGCCGAGCGAAATACAGGATGGAGCTGCGCTGACGCTCGAGAAAGTGGCCCGCATCGAGTTGTTGCAGCGCTCGAAGCAGATTGTCGATAATATGAAGTATGAAACAATTTCGTGGATTTTTTATTTCTTTAGCGAGCAGAAGGGCATGAACACATGGCTAATATAGAAACTAACTTACTAACCACGACGTTAAACTGTCACTCAGATCAGACAGGATATAAAAAGAAGGACAAAGGTGAATGTTAAGAGTATGGACGGTGCAATCTTAAATCACTCAATGATTTAAGCTCGTGATATTGTTCTGCATGGAGAAACCATCTAATCAAAGGTGGTCTCATATGTTATTATCTAGAGTTATACGCTACGGGTACTAGTACTAATATGAAGACTCAGTTGCTACTCTTTGAAGTACTGCTATTTCAATATGACTATTGTTTAAGTGGAACTGTTATTCTCGCTTAGGCCAGAACTATTATAGTATATATATTTAACTTATTAAGAAGCAAGGATCAAGGTTTGAGGCGTTGATGGTTCAAATACGTCAATTCGCGTATATACACAAGATATGTGTCAGTAGAATAAGGTCACTTATCTGATTCGGCTCAACAGTTTTTTTTGTGAATACCTAAAATAGGGACAAGGGTAATCCACCCGCTTCCCATCGGACTAGAATCACTTTTCAGGCAGTCTAACAGGACATCTGTCTTTTTGCACAATAATTTTTCTTGTTTTCATAGTGCTCGCGGCCTTCCAGAACCACGGAATATTTTTACAGCTTTCCAGATAGCAGACTTGCTTGGGGGTAATGGCTTTCAAACGGGACGTGGTGTTATCGAAATAACCGGCGAAGCCTCGTCGGGTAAAACCCAGCTGCTGCTTGATATCGCGCTCAGCTGCCCTCATAGAGCAGCTTATGTTGTCACAGAGGGACGATTTCCAGGTCGTATTTCCCAGTAAAAGTCATACTTTTCGAAACACTGGTCTCAGTTCAACCGCGAGTTTTTTTAGGACTGGTTCTGACACAACTCTCGTACAATCGCCCCACCTCCACTATTTTCATATTAAACGAGTAAATAAATGTTTCGATTTTTACGTCTCAAGCTGCCGCTAAGCATTAGACTACACAGACTGTATCTAGTGTTTTCCCTATCCGTTTATTATACAGAAAAACTTTGGATAATATTGTAGTAATTCGTGGGTGATGTAGGTAATCGTCTCTGTCAGCTTGCGTCGAACAAGCAGCGCTGGCCTAACGCATCCATGGACAAGATTTTGATTTCGAGGGTGGCAGACCTCGACCAGTTGATGAAAACGCTTGACAAGGATTTGCCGCGTCTCCTTACGACTGGAACTATAGATGCAATCTTAATAGACTCAGTATGGTTATAAGTTAGATTTTATGCGTAAATACATAATCTAATTCGATTTCCATCGTGACATATAATCATTTTACGATAAAAATTGAATTTATTCAAAACATTTCTTTATTAGATAATATATAATATCGCAAAACATGATCAACTTATTGATGACTTATTGATGATCGAATTGTGTATTGTGAATTGTAACGCATATGAACGTGTGAATTGTTCATCTATAGTATTTGCGTATTCCCTCGCTAAGATATACGAGATATTCACGCAACATGTCCATCAAAGTATTGAGAACGAGACAGTTTTTACCCAATCTGATCATACATTCCCACTATTTATGTGTAGTACAATTTTATCCTCTTCATAATAATTATTAAATACAAAATTGCACAAATTTAAACAAATTGGATAACATTTCATAGTAGTTTGAATGATTTTTTGTTTCAAAGACTTTATTTTGCTTTAGTACCAGGATACAGTCTGTAGTATTTAGACGATAATATTCCCTGACGATTTTATATGTTTTTATTACTGTTGCGAGATATATTTAACATTTAGGAGCGAGTTAAAGTTCAACATTTGCACATTTGTGTCTTTCTCGTGTATTTCCTATGAACGACGACCAAGATAACGTGGCCATTCCGGGTCGAGGAAGGCTGTAAGGAACGAACAAAAAGTATACAGGATGTTGTCCGTAAGCTTCACCGATTCTCGAAAAAGTACAACGTTTTAATTGTTTGCGCTAACCAGGTCGCCGCTGACCTCGCTAGTGGAGTTCTTCGGCCATGCTTAGGAACATCATGGTCTAAAGGTAGTAGTCAATGTATTGTGATTATAATCAAATAACTATAATTTATCAAAATAATTTGTTCCAGTAGGAAATCTGTACCCATGAACGGGTTAAATAAAAGACAGCCCGAACAACGCTGCACGGCACTGTCTATATAACAGTGAATAAATCCTTTCTCACTTAACGGACACGTATGGACGAGAAAAACGTATGAAAATATAACTGAATGAAACCATTTGCACGATATTTTAAACGCGTCTACGTTTTAGGGGACCGGATATTTGAACCAATGATGGATACAAGTTTCTTCGCATTGTTGGCAGAAAGCTAGCAATGCAGAAGGTGCGGCAGTGCCCCTGTATTGTGGAACGCCATGTATCAATTTGCTTTTCGCTTGTGTATATCCATGCGGAATGTCTCATGACTACGACTTTATATATATCTAGATAGGAATCGATGTAACACTATTTTCAAACTCTTACAAACAGGTTTCAACAAATTTCGACTCTCACGCAGTATGACAACGTAGATTCTAATAGAATTGCCTCGTGTTAAATCTGTTTAATGAAAAATAACATTGCACAACTGGCAGTAGATTTGGCTCCGTGCTTCACTTCTTCTACTAGTTCGTAAATTTTATTTACAAATTTAAAAAAATTATGAACGGAAATACAAATCGCTGTCTTTTTTGTCATGTTTTACATTAATTTCAGGGGTTTCCGGACGACTAATGTTAAGCATTAAAGATCGTGAACTAGGTCTCCGCAATTTGCGGGTCGACTGGTGTGAAAGCTATTTTCAATGGTGTGTGGGCAAAGATCGTGAGTTTCAGATTCGTCCAGAAGGGCTCGTGGCCTTGAACGGCGATGATCCCACTTAAGAAAAATGGAGCAGCTAGTTTGTACTTAAATATCGCAACTGAACCCTCGCAAGTTGAAGCGGCTGCAAGCGAATACGTAAAAATGAACTATGTGTTTGACATTGTTACCATTGTTTACTCATGATATATAGAGAACAGGACTTACGTGATCATTACGTGTTTACTGTAATATGCTTTATCTGCAAGAACTGTTTTACCCGATATTTTTTGATAAGCCGAAAGCTGTTAGGTAACATAAAGAATGCTAGAGGGATTTTAAGGAAGATTTGCGCTCACAAAAAGTATCTCCGTTGATTAACGTTAATACAACAACGGCGTTAGAAACACAGTGACGATTGCTGGCTAGTCTGTGGTAGTTCTATTAGATGCAGAAGAAAAATGAACCTACAAACTTACTCTTAATAATACTGACAACAAGTCGTCAATTCAATAAATGAAAATGATGAAAACTGTTTGTAGATCTTTCTACGTAGGCTTTTAATCGGCTGAAATTTTCGCAGCACATAAAGAATGAAAAGCGGCGAATAGGCGCAATATTATTTCATTAGTTCGTTTATTGTCAATTAGCCTGTCCATGCATCAAATATGTGTACACATATATACATGTTTCATATGCACATCTCTTAGAATAAATTAGCAACGACCACCCACTACTAAATAGTATTGTTGTGTTCCCTTAATGTACACATATATATATATATATATATATATATATATATAGTGTAGACGGAGTGAAAAGGCAAGTGCTAAGTAGCTATATACATTTTCCTTCCCCTTAGCAAACCAACGAGTAATTATAGACTCTGTAGACCTGTATCAATACACAATGAAGCTTTATAGACATGTACCATTGCACAAGAGATCTTTGAAGAAAATTACATTATGATAATCAATAATCTGCCTATAATCTTCTCCAATTAACTTTTTGCTTGTGCGCAGTGAACAGACATGTAATACAGATATAGTTTTTTCTATTTATAGACGTATGCAACATTCTATCTGAAAATTTTTTTATATCCTATCTACAGCAAATCTACATAATTCCTCACGCATCTCACAAATGGCTATGGCGCGCACGATGGCCCGATTTGACCCTTTAGATCAAGCAGTATATGAAGGTTTACGTTCCGCTAAAGCTAAACAGATCTTATCCTTTTACCACTTGTCTTTCCCTCTCGCTGCAGCATCCATTTAATTGTATCTAGGTATGCTAAAGGGCATCACTTGCCTAGTGCGAACTCTCCCGTCAACGACATGGGCGATGAGAAGGGTGGTATCGTCTGCTTCGACGCTTAAACGAACGAGGTCCCTGAACTTCAGAAGGCCCTTCGATCCATTTGGGAGCAAAACTACCCGGAAGTCTGGGAGCGACGGGGAGTTTTTCGAATACTCCGAATCAGTATATACATCAAATACGATACGCGGTGGCGCTGACTTCGGCGGACTAAGCTGATCTCGTTGTTGATCTGAACTTGGCTCCAACTTCTCATTTCTACTACTACTACTACTCTGTTGTTGAGACTCCGAAGGATTATATTTGGATGATAATATATCGACAGTCGTGCCGATTCCTTCATTAATAATATCAACGCCTTCGCTTTGCTTGCACTCATTGATTAGTAAGTCAGTGCTCAGAGAAGCTAGTGGGATCGATATAGTATTTTCGTCAGGACCTGCTCCCATGGTAGGACTGTCTAAGGCTAATTCCGATGCGGTTGTAGAAGTACCGTTTAAATGACCAATGAGACTGTTTTTTGAATTCGTAGAAAGTACTGTTTGTAATAAATCTGGGGTAATCAAGGAAGAAGTCTTATCTGCACGATAATTTTGTTCGTCTTTAACGATGACTGAATGTTTCTTACGGAATTCATGATTGTTGTCTTGTGGAACATCTATAACAGATATTAACTGCGGTTGTCCCTCCTTCGTTGGTTCTTCGCTTAAAGGTTTTACAGACTGATCGGTAGTTTTCTTGTCTGTCTCATCTTCGTCGCCGTCTGCCAAACGTCCAAATCCTTCTAAGAGTGCTGCCAGGTTCTCTGTGACCTCTTTACCGAGGGTAAGTTCCTCAAAGATAAGTGAAGTCATGTTTCCTTTGGTACCGGTCATCATTGGTTTTGTAGTTCCGCTATACAAGGCACTCCGCTACAAAATACAGAGGATAAACGAAGTGCAATAAATATGTCGCTAAGAATGCAGAGAAAGTTGAAAGTGATCATCTTGGATGTAAAAGGAGGTGAATCGTGAGAAAACGTACAAAAGCTCCAACAACAATTGTGTATGCAAATATATTCTATCTGCCGTCCTCATGTGATTCAATGTTATTTGGATTAACTTTATTGATCAACCAAGAAAGCAGCTACTTTTTTGATGTTGACTTCCCTCTCAAAATTCTTAAATTTCTAATTTCTCACCAATAAACTTAATCGGATTTACTTACCTTATCGTACACGTTGTCAACGCCACTTCCCCGTTCGGCCACGATTCTAGCGAATTCTTGCTTGTACTCATACCAGTTTTTTGCGAAAGGAATTAGCGGAATTCCGTCTCGAGTAAACCTGTGCAGAGTGCTCTGCACAGAAGATGAATGCACGCCCAACTCTAGCCCATCGAACCATCTAGGGAACCAACGGCGATGGAAACGCTCCGTCGAGGCATCAGGCATAGTTCCAGCCGAACCCGGCGGGAACATGAAAGAGCCTGGTACGGGCCCCTGTTGTAGCATGGCCGCTAGAGTACTATGCATCTGTGCCTGCGCGGCCTCCATCGCTGCAAACTGTTTATTCTGCAATGCGACAGAGTAATTAGATAATTGGCTTGTTAAATATAACAAAACCTCAATGTATTGTACTGCGTGTGAAACATAATCGTGTATCCTTTTTATAATATCTAGCAAATGTACAACCGAGTGATCACGTGATATTGTAAAGCATTTGAAGCAATGCTTGACGACAAGACCATACGTAAAACTCGGAGTATGTATTAATTACGCCATAATAATAACATACCCTTTTGCCCCTCTTGGTAGCAGCTCCTTTTTTTGTCGTTGAGCAGTCACCCTTCCGCTTTCGTAGTCTGCCCTTTGTAATCGGGCTTAATTCTAGGTACTCGCCCGTCTCCTCATTGAGCGGATCCACTTTTTCACTGCCCAACGCGGTGACCCATTCCTCAAGTATAGTCAGCGAACGCCCCGCTATGAAGACATTTGACGGTTGGCTTCCAACAGTAGTTGTCTTGTTAACACCGTTAGCATTACTAACGTCATGAGCTACACAAGCCGGTGATAGTTCAGGCGGAATCGTGGGCAAAATAAGCGACTGGCCCGCACACGAAATGTCTACAAATGAAATAGGCTTGCCCTGCAGAAGTAAAGAAACAATTAAAATCCGTGAAAAGGTAATTGTGTGACAGGTAGAATTTAAAACTCCGGAGTGGTGTTAATTCTCTTCTTAGCTATGTGCTTGTTTATATCGCGGGCTTTAAGAAAGGCTCTACTTATGTACTCTAGTACGAAAAAAAAGTCGCATTTACAGCTGCAAAATGTTGGCAAGGAAGAGGAAAACGGGCGAATATGACGAAAAAAAATCAACATACCTTATAAATCGGCCCAGGCGTGTAGGCCAACTCAATTTCCTTCGGAGTCTTGTCCTTATTATCCGGTAACGGCATATTGCACGAAATTATCTGCGTGATAAGTAACATCAATATTTTGAAACATTTCTTATTTAACCAAGGCATGTCTGCTATAGTGAGCGCATATGGCATATATCACGTTTGTTTCACCAACTAACGTGTAATAGATGTCTAAAATATGCTAAAATTTCGTCACCTCACAAAGCACCATCGCAAACAACTCTGTACATACCAAATTACGAAACACCCTATTTTCATTTTTGTAAAATTGAACATCATTTTGTCGAAGACAGACGTACTTTGCGAGCCATAATGCAGTCTGCACAAATGGTGTCAATGTGCTTCATAGGGTTGGACTGGATTGTTTTCTCTCTACCGCTATATTAAGGTAGTCAAAAAGTAGGGTTCGTTTTACACCTGAGAAAAACACAAGATTCAATTCGACTTCAAGCAACCACTTAGCTCATTAAATATTTGAGATCACTCTCTGTTACCTTTTTGCACGTTTCTATTGATTTAGTTATTTCGTCTCGCGCGAAATTTTCAAGTCTGACAGAGATCAATCAGTCGCAAGTCTTCGGAGACTTGACTGTCAACTTTTCTGTTATGACTGCTAAGCAAATATTACCAAATGACCGGTTGTTCATAGTCGCATAAACGCAATTCATTTTTTTTAACCTCTTCACGAGCTGTTTGGTTTTTAAGGCTCTCATCAGTCTTAAATGGGTGACCCAAGCGAAGCACATTTTCTAGCTTCTTTTGTCTATCTTTTTTTTTTTTTTTTTTGCTATCTTTGTACTTTGCAAATCATCTTCAAATATCCCTTTGAACTACAGGCTCCTCGCCGTACACGTTACGAATATCCAAACTATTTCCGTAAGGCGAAACGGAGCAAGTGTACAAAGCTTAAAATTTACCAGGAGCATCTCTTTTTGGAATATGAACTAAAAAGAAAAGTCCAGTGATCACACAACGAAATTTATAATGAAACCGGCTTATGGAAGAGAGAGCACTCCTGAATGCTACAAATAATTCAACCGAAAATGAAGAAGAAAAGTGTATAGAAGAGTGTCTGAAAAGGGCCGTACATTACTTGTCGACCAACCTGTTATAATGAAAAGAAGTCCGCTAAACAAAAGTTCTTTTGCCTCAACTGTACCTCAAGATCCGAATCGGAATCCTTCGAAAAAGCAGACTGGGCAGGTACCACTGGCAATGCAAGAGATTGTGCTGCCAACAGAAGTTTTTCTTCTTCGGTGCTGTCTGTAAGGTTATAGAGTATCATTAGATGAAACTGCATGAACCTATTTTATAGAGACATGAAGGCTCGCTAAAAAAAGGTCGGGCTCATACAATAGTAATAGCATGAAGCTCCTGTAGGTCACTAATGCAGGTCTTGTTTGGATACAGTAAACATCCAAAGGGTTTCTCCTTTATCAATCAACATGGTCTCCGTCAGTGCACAACTTTAAGTGCCGCAAACACACAATTATTCCTATCGCTCAATAGAGGAGTAACGAGAATGAATGTTCATTTTTGTTTTTGGCTATACCTACCTTTCGCTGTCGGTTTTCGTCGTTTAGGTGGCTTTTTATATGGAACGACTATGCAGCTCCCCTCCATGAGATATTCGAACAAAAGATGTAACTCATGATCAGCTTCATTACGTAAAAGGGTCGCATACGCGTCGAAGACTGACATTGGCACCCCTTCTGAACACACCAAGTGAAGCTTGCCGCGCTCCAGCAGGTAGCTGCGAAAAATAATGGCATTAATTATACATTAGATAAATGTATTTATAATATTAGACATCAACTGAACAGCATGAATCTTACCGACTAAAAGTAGATAAATCATGGACGCTATCAAGGAAGACTTACAGTGCCTCGTAGAACTCGAGCATCACCGGATTCGTGGCTGATCCCATAGTCTCAATCATTTTTCCTCTTCGTAAGGTTACCTGCAATTAATAGAGAAAAAGAGTTAGATGGGAGTGCAACGTATTATATAGCTGTAATGTATAACTAATCGCATGCTCTTTCAGACGTTCGCCAGGAACACGCTCAATGTAAACTTGACCTCCAGTCTGTCTAGTAACGCTCGGTTAGGGCATAAAACCGTTCAAACACTTTCCCGTCGTGGTGGTAAAACGTCTATAGTGACAAAAAATCAGTCCTGTAGAGCCAATGTCCTCTGATAAAATATGTTCGCACAGCTTTCTCATGTCTCACCAGCACCGATTCTGACATCGAAAAGCGCAAACCACAAGCTCGTTTTACGATCTGATCCGGCGGCATTTTCCAATCCTGTCCAGCAGGCCGCTCATAATCCCCAATTAAATGCTTGAACTTCCTGTCGGCAAAATCACCGGGGCAGACGTCCAATCAGCCAGACATTCAAGCCATTCTTTGATGATTTCGGCCATACCGCCAGCCATCTCGTCGTCAAAATATACATATATTAATGCCATTTAGAAAACGCATATCAATGTAGGGTACGCGAGTGGAAGTTAAAGATGACAAAGCAAGGCAGACCGGAATGGTACGCTCCAGTTGTATTAGCATTGTGATGCTTGAAGGCCATGACGCATATCCCCAACCCGTATGCTCGATACGGCCGAAATACTGCATGTAGACCATGGTATATCAACTAGCCTGTTTCTGATGGGCGTCGATAATATGGGTGTTATCAAAAGAATACCATATCTATGGGTTCATTCAACAAAGACAAACCGTGTTGGACTAATCTACAGAGATAACGATCAGTCCTGCTAAAATTAGTCGGAGTCTTAATGTGTCGATCCTACGTCGACTAATGGCGTCCTATTCTGCGACAGGGGATATGGGCTAGAGCGTGTGGGTCTGCACGCGACTGCGCCGTGTGCCGGATTGCAAGTGAGTATAAATAAAATGCCTCCGAAACGTACTCCGTTGGCCAAGGATCGATAAATCTTCCACAGAAAGGTATGCATCAACCCCAATGAACGAACCAAATAACCGCTGTCACTAAGGGCATTACCACGATAACAAAGTGAACTCTGGATCATTGGCGCTTGGGCCTGCTTCTGCAAGCTTATTTAGAGCACCCGGGATTGTGTCGAAGGCCGACAGTTGTACGACAGCGATACTTTGTTCGGAAAATGTATTGCTAGTGTAGTCAATAGTAAAACCGGAAGTCGAAATTGTTTATCATCAAGATAAGATGAAATCCTTTCATAGTAACAGTCTTTATTTATATGATACCTATAAAATTATTCACTGTAGGTCCACCTATTAGCAGACGCTTCAACGCATCGCATGCTTCACAATAGTGATATCACATGAAGTAAGCGAACTAAAAACATGTGTACGACATTAAAGTAAATAATTAGGTGATACGGAGAAAATGTCTCACCTCAGCTTTATGCCTGTCAGGAAGCCATTTAGCCTGTAGAATGGAACCCATCTGGAACTTTTTCAGGGATTCAGCAGCTTCTATTGTCTCTTCGTGATGTCTAGAACATGACCACGAATATATTAGTACAGAGTCTGCGGTAGGGTGAATCTGAACAATTTGCCATTTATCCTTTATCTTTTGAACAAATACTCAAATCGCAAGCGAATTATACCAAAGAAGATTTGTCAACCAAACTCAATTGGTTAAACCACTAATTGCCTTATGATTTTTTCCCTTTACCAGCTAAATGCTCTTTTTGTAAACGTAAGATCAATGAACTTCTCTCCACTTATGAGATAATAAACAAAAAATGTCGTTGCTCACCTACCAGCCATATATACTGAACCAAAAAGCACATACAAATCTAACATTTCAGATTCTAGCGAAAGTAGTTGACATATTGTACTTACTTAATTGCTTGTTGGAGTATATTGGGATCGTGACCATGGATAATCTTTCTTAAAGGCCTTGGAGGCTTGCGAGGAGACTTCGCGCCTGCCTCTATAGTGGTAGCTTCAGGAAAATTAGCTTTCAGTTTAGTTCCATTCGACGTGGTTACCTGGAAAGTTGAGAAAATCCATTACAAGGACACAAGCATTATATAACTTACTTGAGGTATTTAGTAGAATAATTATTGCTACAATTAACGGAACAATAGTGTTACACACAAGCCACATTAATTAATTAAGATCGTTCTTCACCGAAATATTCAAGACAAAAACACAGTCAGGTGTGGTCAAAGAAATATTAATAAATGACTGCTAGCTGAAAGCCAATCTAAAATTCGCATTTAATCGTCCTTATCGTATCGAATACGACAATGTATCATATCGCTGACTATTGTTTGACCTTCGGAACTTCGCAATAGCCGACCCTTGTAAAGACATTACACTAGTGCATCTGAACTCACTTGCTATCTTTTGCGGCGCCTTAGGAGAACAACTTTGATGACGAAAACGTGATCACTTACCTCAATGTCACCGTACTGAGGCAGGCGGGGAACCCGTAACTCAATCTCTACCTGTATAGCTAGCCGCTCCTGTCGTTCTTTTTCCTACAAGAAGAAAAAGAATTGGAAAAAAAACTATAGAAAAATGCAAACCTTTAATAAATACTGGGACATTGCGAACAAACTGCGAACACAAAAACCTCGCCTGAAAGTATAAGAACTATAATAAATTTTAGATAAAATAAAGGTCTTATTAAAAAACGAAGTAATTTGGACAGCCAAGCTTCTGGATAAAACAGACTAGAAATCGCTGCTCCAAATATGATTAGCGCTACATGCTACATAACCTGGGTGAATAAAATATAATAAAAGAACATAGTAAAATAACAAAAGATAATGGTAATAAAAGAACATGCTGGAGATATAACCATGAGAAAAATATATGCCATAGTTTCTAACCAGGCCATTATTTGTTGTTAAATTTCTTTTTACAATAGCTGCTGCGTTAGCGTACCAACAAGGAATGATCCCACAACACAAAAATGCAACATAAACAAATACACCATTCGCTTCGATCCCATTACTTACCCAGTTAAGGCTACATTTTAACCGATAGCCTTATAAAAGACAAATTTAAAAGTACCTTTAACTGCCCAAGCCGTGAAACCAATAGGAATTGATACCTTTTCTGCTTCATCTTTGAGTCGCTGTTGTTCCTGCTGTTGACACCCCGGAGATGATTCCATAGCAGATGATTTACGCACCGCTGCTTGGCTCCTAGAGGGTGTGGCCGACGAAGCACTACAAGCGCCAAGAGTTGGCTCGAAAGCTCTGAAATATTGAGAACACGTATAAAAGCTGCTGGTCGCTTGTTCCTGTTCGAGGACGGTAATCAATGTGTACATAGAAAAAGATATCATACAAATACTTATTATTATTATTGCATAATAATAATTATTATTAATAAACGCAATACTCACGATCCCATGAGTGACGAAGGCATTGGTTCTTCAATGTGCGTCCTCACGGCCGTGGCCGCCCCAGCCGCCGTAGAGGGGCCACTGCTAAAAGCGGTTACTACCTTAGCAATCGCTGACGCAGAGCTTGGCGCCGATCCATAGAATCTATTCGAGGTCGGAGAGTTTGGCCGAGAAGCGTGACCATTTGCCCCATACCACTGAGATTCGTCCTGGTCGTCAACTTCGGTATCTGACTCGGTTTCCTCGTCTGCGTCTGAGCCAGAATCCGTTGCCGAGCCAGATACAGATGCCGTTCCAGGATCAGATGAAGAAGAGGACATCAAGCTGATATCAAATGAACGACAAAATGAGGAAAAGCATTTTTCCGTTCTTTAAGTACCGTTTCAGCGCATTATGAAGATGCCGCGAAAAGTGCCAGAAGATTGCATTCTTTTGTCAAAGATAAAAAAAAATATGCATTAATTGACAATACTTGTTAGATCTAGCATAAGTATTCTCAGCGGTAACTACGATATTTCTTTGTTCGCTCTATAGGGAATAACTAAAAAACCGATCATTTACAAATGATTTTTTATTATCCTGAAAAAAAGCTTATCGCATATTGACCTGCGTGTAATAACTTCCAGCGCTTTTCTGGGCACCCTAACTTCTGCGATAACAACTATTATTTGATGCTGCTATACCTAAACCGTCCTACTTTACCTTAACTCACATAGGTGGTAGGATAGATGAAAAGGAAGTAAAAAAATACACCCACTTACTGTTCAAGTCCCTGACGCTGGCTTAGGTCTCTAGTAACACGCAGCACGCCTGGGCGAGGTCTACCCGAAATTCGATAGCTCGACTGAGAGTCGGTTGCGTGAAGAGAACTAGGAAGATCTCGGTGACTGTTGATAACGGCACCCACGAAAAGACAAAGCTCGTAAATATTACAGATATACGGACTACAGAACAGGCTTGAAGACGCCATAAAAATATATGGGCCGCCTTCATAGATTCAAAATATCCTTTATTTGGCTTGTCGGATTTAATAAATTTTTTTCGGAAAGCCGGTCTAAATTGAGTTTTTTTTTTCTATAACAATATTAATAATAACTTAGACTATCTATCAGGCTTTTATGCAAAACATACGGTTTGCTTGCATAGTTTCGCAAATGTCTTAAGTTTGATGGCCGCTGCCCAAGTTCGTTATGAAGAGGCTCTTCGTCTGGACTGAGGCGACTGGGCCGATTGCATTCGTTCTGAGTAGGTGGCGCTGTGTTGTTTGTTGTTCCCGAATTATTTATCACCTGAAAGCAGAACAGCCTATTGTAGCTATTGACCTTATAATATTAGGAAGTATGGAATGTGACTTAGCATGCATGAGTTTGTGGCTGTAACAACAAAGTTTCCGAGATGCGTTAGATAATTAAAAATCGGGATGGATTTCCAAAGTAAATGCTTCACATATGTGTAATTCCTTGTTCAGAATTGCCGTGCGAAAGGCTTGTGTTACATATACTGCTTCTGCTCTCAAAAATCGTGATTTAGTTCCATGCTAACTGTTGATTATTAATAAACAATCATACATACATATATTTTCGTACCACAAAACCTCACCTGGTTAAGCACAATGTGAATAGCACTCCTGTAAAGTTCGTCTCCAATTTCATCGCCCGATGCCGCGACGGAGCCAATAGCATTATTTAAATTTGGTGGTGCGTTTCTCCATCCGATTGGACCAAAACGTGAGGCGGATCCATCATCCCTGCAACAGTGTTAGGAACATGGCATCAGTAAGAATACAATTGATTTCGATTTATATTAATACTTAATTATTATTATTATCAATGTACATGGATATTTTACCGTAGTCCAATAAGTTTCAGCTAAAGTAACAACTTTATAGCTTTGAATGAATCTTCAAATAAATTTTTCTTTGACTTTGTTTTCTTTTTCATTGTCATCATCGTGTTCACCTGAATGGCATGAGAGCCATGAGCTGCGAGTTTGCTGTCGAAGTTGAAGGACCTGGCGTAGGTGTTGGGTGCAAGGTTGGTGCCGGGTGGCTAGCTGGTTCTTCATTCTCGTCAGAGCTGATAGCGATAACTTCCGGTGAAATCGCCTTTGCAAAAAGCAACCGAAAAAAAAAATTTTTAAAGATTGGCTAAACTCGGTTTACAGCGGTTCAATTAGTTATGTTAAAAGTTGTTTCCATGCTGAATGGAGAAGATCTGATCTAACCGAATAAGTGAATTTCAAGGGCCGTTACAGTCGAATATGATTTAAAATACCTTTTATGATTATTCACAGATTGAAATGGACTACTCAAAAGGATTCATATAAAGATCGATTACATAAACGTTGCTTTGCTTTAATATACTTACTTGAGTGGATTCATGACGCACCACTTGAAGGGCCCAGGGATCAATAGCTGTCATTAGCTGTAGACGGAAAACACGTAAGGATCAAATTTTAATATTTCAAACATATGTAAGTTTTACGGCATTTGCACTAAAACGATATGTGCGTGACATACCCGTATATGTATATTTTTTGTACTGCCGCAAAAACTATCAATTCGAGCAATTTTTTATCCTTATTGAAGAGAAATCTAAGCGCATACTAGCTCTAAAAAACGGTGAAGTTTGAAAAAATTTGTTTGTATAGTATTCGGGTTATTCATTTTAAAGGTTGCTCATCCGATTTAACATATCCCATTTCAGAAGCTGATTGAGGAATAATTGAACATATTTCTTTTGAAGGAATTTTTTTCTTCTACTTTAATAATAATAATTTGATCCTTAAATTATAATATTCCACTAATAAGTACAAGGAAAATATGATTTCTCGTACCCTGATACACCTTATTATTTTTAATTAGAAAATTTAAATTAGCATTTTTTTTCTAGCCATCTGATAACGCCAAAAGGGATATTGAGGATTATTTGTATGCGCCGTAATTTTCGGTGGCGCCACTAACGTATACCTAGAGCCTTCAATTTGCGCTCTTAAGTCTTTCGGACACGCACTAATCCCCAGTAAACAGTCGTCCAAAGTTCTCTGTAATGAAGTCGTGCGATTACGCGTTGCTGCAACATTGTGACACCTATTCAACTTGCTTTTTGTTGCCTATTCATACCACGTTTGCTGATGTATGCGTACAATTACTGATATATGTACTCGTAGAATTAAGAAACAGTAGTTTCGGAGGCGACTCCTTTCACACTCAAAAGCACCACCGAAGATTGGCCGACTACCTTGCCAATCCTTGAATTATCTGGCTTTTCGGCTTAAATGATTTACACCTTTCTCGTTACCCCCAAATGCCGTGACGCCGAACTAAAACCGGCACAAATGCTATTTATTGAACACAGAGGTAACATTTTTACAGCGATGAGACGGAAAGTCAACAGGCTCACCCTTAACGAAAGCACATTATATCAAACCAGTCCAAGGGGATCACAATCAGTCCTGTCAAAACCAGGACAAACTTTGAGGCTTCCAAACGTAATCGATGGCGAGCGATTTTCTCGACAAAGAGATATGAGTTTGTCCTGGGCTGCTACGTATGCCGGCTTACGGGACAAAGCCACGAAAGTGCGTCCCTTTTTACCCAGTTGACCATAGATCCGTAAATCCCTCGCTTTAGGTTGAACATCAACATCTTAGACGGGGTGGGCAGCCACTATCACTACAGACCTGGACCTGTTGCCGCAGGCTCGTACACAGTGCCCACGGTCGCGTCGAAGGCCGGTAGTTATACCTTCCGTTAGTCGGTTTGAGGATGCCATCTGGCAAGCAAAAAGAGCTTAGAGAGCAACGTAAATGAACTGAGCACTAAAGGATATAGAAAATAGAAATGCATGAAAATGAAAATATCTCGCCGACTGAAGGAAATTAATTTGAATATATATATATATATATATATATATATATATATATATCCAAATTAATACATACAGCATACATCTATATAGGTATAGCCACAGCATTCGCTCTTTTTTCATTTTGCATTCACCAAAGCCTTTCATACCTCCGGTGGAGGACTGTGTTGACTTCGTGGGTATTCCATCAGGTCAAGATCCACTTCCATCGAAGAGGCGGAGCTTTCCGAATCCACATTACTTTCTGAACTATATCGTTCCGCCATTATTCACAAGATCCTAAAATACATGCATGTAAGACAACTCATTAATATACTATTTGTCTATTATTGTGCATCTGCAACTGCGAACTTCCGGATTCAGGTGCAATTTAGCATGTAAATTTAACACCTCTTCTTTTAAGAATAAGCATCAAGTCCCAAAGTAAAAACTTTTTGTCCTGACCGGATGCAAGTCTTTTTTGTTTTAATCTAATACGCATAGACATTTTAGTACTCATCAGATTAGAATAAGCGTGAAAAAACCTTTAGGAATTCTACTTCCTCAAGAGCAAAAAAAAAACTAGTGGGGCGTAACTGAATGACTCAAGAAAAAGCAATATTTATTTTGAGATTATATATAAATAGAATAAACATACATCGTATATAAAAAGTAGAATGTATGGAATTTTTCAATACGTTCAACTTTTTTTACACGAACTACATAAACTTGTAAATCAGTAGGCCACTGCCAAAGATCCTTCTATTAATTCTATTAAAAAGAGTAAAGCAATTTTGTCGACAAACGCTTTCCCGTGCCCTCTGCCGAAATTACGACGTACTACAGAATTTGAAATTTGTGTAAAGACAGTGAAACTTGTAAAAACATATTTGTCCTGCTTACCAGAATTTTGTAAGTCTTTCAATGGGTCCCGTTTACCAGTCAGGTTACTGATTTTTGTAAGCATCTGTGGTTGGTGGGGGCTACACGGGTACTGCCGGACCACTCTACCCTCACGTTGGCGACTCGAGTACCATACACAATTGTTTTTCAATTGGAGTTGTTGCAGCAACTTCCGTGATGAGCGTTGCAGCGCCTTATCGACGTTCTACAAAGAACATATGAGGAACTCAGAAGTTTTGTACATACTCGTTTATCTTGTCTCTCGTTTAAGCTACCTTTGGTTAGGGGAATCAGTTCAGTCGATGCCTTCCGTATATAACCCCAGTAACACAATGCAGTTCTCAATATGCTCACGTTACTTAATCCATCCGCCTGCTTCGCCTACCCAGCGTCCTGTCATCCTTCTTTTTGTCTGCTTTTAGTTGTAGTGAGCATTTTCTCTACATTAGTCCTTCTTTGAATATGGTGAAAGAGAAGCAGAATGAGGCGCTTAATTTTTACCACAGGTCACGAACGCGCGAGAAATGAAAGATTAATCTTCTACACGTAGCAGTAATATATTTCGAACGTTTGCCATTCCGTACTTCATAGTGAACACATAGTGAACGACAGGATTATTTTGAATCGAGGCTAGCTAAGTCCCAGAACAGAGTAGTATTTTGCTTCCCGTTTCTATTGTTTATCACTTGCCGCTTCGGTTAGCTACCGTTGAAGCATGTTCTGGTCCGTGGCCAGAGACAAGCGCAGACACGGAAAAGAAACGTTAAAATTGTCTGGTGGGCGCCAGTGGACCTTCTGCGATACTACATGGTTCTTCCTTTATTTGTTGTGTAATTCACGTTAACGGGCTCAAGTAGTTATCTAAAGCATCGAACACCTCTAAGAAATGACCTGAAATGTTAGATTTGGCTGACTGTAATCATCAAAATGTGCATGCATTTCATTGTGGCAAATCGTTAGACTTGTCTTGTCTGACAGGGGCAGATATGCCGGCACCTTATTTTATGACCGTTATGTTTCTAGTTACCAAATTAGCAGTGTGTCTGCTACTGAAGCAACCCGAGGTTTTTGTGCTTTCAGAGCTGTTTCTTGAAAAGTTGAGTCGTCTAGCTTCCTCTATGTTGAATGAACAACTGGACTCGACTCCGAAGATAACTATGAGCGTGCTAAAAAACGAAGTTCTAGATTACAGTACTGATGATTGCCTCTTTTTCATATTTATCTGTCAATTATTGCAATAAAATCGATGTTGAAAAATAACGATCTGGATATTTTAGCTGCATACGGGATGAAATTGCATAGCCAAACATGGGAGCAGCCTGTTTATAACCAATGTAAACAAATAAGGAATATATCTATTAAAGTGGTGCTGGCATTCCCGTGGGATAGCACCAGATGCAGAAAGCCTGTTTTGCAGAATTCAAACAATGAGCAAGATGTATTCAGTATAGGTGTAAACAGCAATAACGACCATTTGGTATGACTATAAAGAGCGTAACAAAATAATACTTTTATACAGGACAACTGCATTACGCGTCGCATAAACCAATTAACTTTGTCTATTCTGAACCTTCTCTCTATTTTATTCAATTGAGAATAAAACATGCTTTTATCATAGCCTACAAGATTCGAATAATCAATTCTTTAGAAGCCGAGCGACTTGTTTAGGTGACCAGTGATGTTTTTTTATTTTTTTTTCTTGTTGTCAAAGAAGGCGAAGATAATTAAAGCTTGTACCGAAGTTACATCGTGAGAAAACTGTATCTGTCTATGATGGTTTGTACGGGACACAACTAAATTAAACAAAATCAACTTTGTAATAGATTGTCTTGGCCAACTGAATGCTACAAGATCACTAATCTTGTCTATATTGATGGTCCTAACCAGAACAGTTTTTTTTTCAATGGAGATTTGATCAGAGTTAGTTAAGCTCGCTCTCCACGAAATTGGGCTTTGTTGCACCACCTGTAGCCGCTATTAATTTACGAGCAGCCTTTGCGGTTAGCTGCTTACAAGGATCTTTTCCAATGGTAGATTTATGTGCTGTCTGCTCAGTACGCGCTATCTTTGATTGGTTATAAACAACGAATGCTGAACACTGATCTCGGTTGTCAGTTTCTATATGGGTCGACGATTACACACAAACAGTGTTACATTCAATTTAAACGCGCCCTTAAATGAGAGAGAAGACGGACGAACAGTGCCTGCAGCGACATCTAAGAATGATCCTTTGGCGCCAACTCTTTAACAATAAACTCCGAATTTAATGTTACCTCGCGCAGTGTTTCCCGGTAAACAAATGGTTACGTATTTGTAAATTATGTTCTTAATATACGATTGTCATTAACTAGATTTAAGCAGTTCTTTGAGATCAAACTACGTTTAGAAAAAGATTATACTACTGAATGAAAAAAAACTGAGATCAGGGTAGAAAGTGAACGTTCCAAATATACGTTTGACTTGAGATTTGAGGACAGGCATCTCAGGCATACAAAATGTAGCAATAGAATAAATTTGCTTGAACTTACGTAGCCCTTAAGTAGTTCTTCTTAGCCTTATAGGCTAAAGAGCAAATATGTAAGCTAAAATGGAGGGCTTTTGAGTCGATTGATAGCCATTACAGTCTCCTGTTTCTATTATATAGTTAGATTTTCTGATCAGTTATAAGAAACATCTTGTCGATATGCATGATCATTCGTTAAAATAGTTTATACGTACGGTATTTCAATAAACATGATTGTTTACCCTACTTTTAATGCGATAATTGCTATATGAGAAATGTTAAAACTATTTGTAACGGTAAGTTCTAATTATGTTTATAGTGCACTTAACGGTGAAAACGGCCTTACCGACTTTCACATTCGCCGCGGTGTACATTTGCCATCAATCAACAGTAAAAGAGTGAATGATTGATTAAGGACGCGCGCATGATCGGAAAGGCCCAATAAATTTAACGGGCTACTTAGTTCAATGAGGAAAACTAAATTACTGTAAATAAAAAAAAAATTGTTAAAAATTAACCTTTCATGGTAAATTATACCTATAATGCTAAATGAATGCTTAAAAGATCTAGCACAGCAACCACTGCTTCTACCTCACATGGTTCATTCGATTTTGGATAACGTTTTGCCGGATCCATGAACGATGTTAGTAGACGATAGCCAAAGTAAGCTATAGTTACAAATCATAGCTTTCCATAACTTCTCGTTCGTCAGATACTAACAACAAAAGTCATTAATAATCAATCTAGTAGATCAATACGTAAAATAACGTTGATTCCGCCAAGAAGAGAAGCCAGGTTCAACTAGAAACAGATGAAAGAGTATATACGCGAGAGAATTGATGAAAAATGCTTGAGAAGGAACGGCGCACGTAAGTATATTGTCATTAACTTTTTGCTGCAGCGAAGGCAGTATCTTCAATTGTTGAACAGCCTTCCAAATATAAAGTCTAGCAGCATAATACACACAAAGACTCGGTCTACGAACTGTCCCTCGAAGTCAACTCTCCTAATGTTCCGGTATGCAAACATTACTTGAATGAATGCCGATCCAAGCACAACCCCCTGGCGGTTCCTCGTTAACTTAGTCGGATGGTAAAAAACGTTTTTTGTATTTTAGGTCCGCTACTTTAGCCGCAAGCATTAGTTTAGACTGTTGGCTCTCATCACGAAACAAAATGTGTTGATATAAGGATTCGAACTTCGAGCATTACGCGCTCCTAAATTTAAATGACCAACTCGTTATCTACTACGTGATCAAGGGTCTGATGTGGTCAGATTGTGTGCCAAAAACTTCATTCACCACTTCATTCACTTCAATCATTAGGAAGGACTATGTTTATTTATTCACATACTTTACGGATGCAATTTAACGACATTCGATATGGGCTATCTTCGTTGAACCTCCAGAGAAGTGCGTCTTTACCTCTCATTGTTGAACAAAAGGCAATAGACCTCGGCGGGCCCTGGCGTATTGCAACTACTGTTTCACACACATTCACAGCATACACATATGTATATGTATATATATATATATATATATATATATAATTTACTCTAAATTAGCATGAAAATAAATGCCAACTTATTTAAATAAAACAGAGCATTTAAATATTGCAACAACCACTGTATAATTTTATAAATTGCGCAGTCAGTACTTTGTCATCGTTTTTACAAATAACATTACCGACGAAGGAATGGTATAGTGCTGTTCAACACTGGCGCAAGTATTGCAAAAGAGTAGAGTATTAAGTACAGACATCTATAAAAAAAGAGGAAAAAGAGATTTAGAAGAAACCGTTCAGGCCTCTGAGCACGAGCTTGCATAACCTAGACCGCGCCAATTCCATTTAGAAATTCTCGAAATGCCCCGTTTTTGTCATTACCAGTTCTCGTAAAATGGTGGAGTAGGTAACATGTTTGCTTACTTAAGTTAGGGACACGTGAGGTGAGCTAGCCTTGAATCCGGGCGTAGACAAACTTCGTGGCGTGATGGAAGAGCCGGCCGTCTTAACTAATTTACGACGGCTTAAATAGAAGGCGTAAAGCAGAAAAATATTTTTGTCGTAAACATAGTACCGATAAAATGAAATATTTATCTAATAAAAGACTAAAGGTAGATCATAATAAGACTAAAGAAAAATACTTGAATCATCTTTTACATATGCATTTAATAACGTTACAAACTCATAATCACGCTTGTATTGGCATTCCGGTTTAGAATGATTAAACCGAAGCTATTATTTACAGTGAATACCAATATCATATCTGTATAGAACAGAGATATTCACTACTAAGCATTTCATTTTTACTTTAAAAAAATTAATTAGTCAACCTGCTTAAATGATTTCTGATCTCGTAAGATTCGGTGACCTTAGAAAGACCCCTTTTTTATCTCTGGTGTGGGATCGCAGTGGCCAAAGGCTCGTTCTCCTGTTTAGCCGCCGAAACCGTAAAGGATACGTCCCTGCCTCTTGAGGGCGTAGACGACGTCCATGCCGGTGACAGTCTTCCTTTTGGCGTGCTCGGTGTAGGTGACAGCGTCACGGATGACGTTTTCAACGAATGCTTTAAGGACACCCCGAGTCTCTTCGTAGATCAGACCAGAGATAGGCTTGACACCGCTACGGCGAGCGAGACGAAGGATGGCTGGCTTGGTGATATCCTGAATGTTATCACGAAGAACTTTACGGTGACGTTTGGCGCCTCCCTTTCTGAGTCCTTTACCTCCCTTGCCACGTCCAGACATTAAGGCTGGATTCGTTCTCAACAAGCTGAAAAAATAGAGTGCCGAGTCCATTTGCAGGGCTCTTATTTACAGCCAGCAAAGGCACTAGATGTGCTGGCGCTGTAATCGCTAACCTGCAGACCCCTCAATGGCGCCAATCACGAGCATCAATAGCTTATCTTCCTCTTCTAAGGGCTTCAAATGTCTGTTGTTTAAAAAGGCACTAGAACCAAGGAGAACATTTATTCGGTTTTAAAATTATCACCATTAGGTTTCTAGAATGTATTGGTGTATATGGATTCAACAGGTGGATTCCATTTGTCGGGAAATTTAGAGCAATGGGCTCATTTAATTGCATGCTTACTGTGGATCTATATGCTACAAAAAATATAGGTAGACAGAAGAACATAAAACCGTGTTTTCGTGACAGTCTTAGCAAGGTTTTTATCCTTTGTGTACCGATTAACAGTATATCAGTAGTAACAGATCGGAAAATGAAGTTGCATGACATATGTCTATTAAAACCTGTGTAAAATTATCTTTTCATGTCAAATCATAAAAATGCATACACAGATCATATAAAAATTAATTAATGTTTGTTTTAAATTACATTTTCTATCGGACCTTCAGGTTAATTGCCATAGTCAATATAAACTCTCAGGTGAATATGATCGGATGCTTCTTTCAGCGGCGTCCCGCTAGAGGGCGTTGCCCATTTATCGAACTCCCCTTTCCTAAACGCTATATAAGTCCAAAACCGAGCTCTGTCTTCAACATTTGCTGTTAACAGACGGTCAAAAATGGCGCGTACCAAGCAGACCGCTCGTAAGTCCACTGGCGGAAAGGCCCCCCGTAAGCAGCTGGCCACCAAGGCTGCCCGTAAATCGGCTCCAGCTACAGGCGGTGTAAAAAAACCCCATCGTTACAGGCCTGGTACCGTCGCTCTCCGTGAGATCCGTCGTTACCAGAAATCGACTGAGCTTCTCATTCGCAAGCTGCCCTTCCAACGTCTTGTGCGCGAGATCGCTCAGGATTTCAAAACCGATCTGCGTTTCCAGAGCTCGGCGGTCATGGCTCTCCAGGAGGCGTCCGAGGCTTATCTGGTCGGTCTCTTTGAGGACACCAATCTATGCGCCATCCATGCCAAACGTGTCACCATTATGCCTAAGGACATCCAACTGGCTCGTCGTATTCGCGGAGAGCGCGCTTAAGTTACTGGAATCTTTACTTCAGTAAGAAAAAAACGGCCCTTTTCAGGGCCACCAACATCCAGAAGATCATGCACTTTACTGTGCATTCTCAAATAATTAAATATACTTTTGCAGACCATTTACATATTAAGTAACTGGTAGTTTATAGATGAGTGATGGATATGTCTGCTCAATATATTGCGGGCAAATTTCCAGTCCACCGCAAGGCGTCATCAATATTAAAGCTGCTTAATTTGAATGAAATAGTGTTTTGGAAAAAATGATCTGAACGTCATCATGTCTGGTCGCGGAAAGGGAGGAAAGTCAAAAACGAAGGCTAAGACCAGGTCTTCGCGGGCAGGACTTCAGTTCCCCGTCGGTCGTATCCATCGTCTGCTTCGCAAGGGCAACTATGCTGAGCGAGTTGGAGCGGGCGCCCCTGTGTACCTAGCTGCCGTTCTTGAGTACCTTGCTGCTGAGGTCCTTGAGTTGGCCGGTAACGCTGCTCGTGACAACAAAAAGACTAGGATTATCCCCCGTCACCTTCAGTTAGCTATCCGTAACGACGAGGAGTTGAACAAGCTTCTTTCAGGAGTGACCATTGCCCAGGGTGGCGTCCTACCCAATATCCAGGCTGTCCTCCTCCCCAAGAAGACCGAGAAGGCCCAGGCCTAAATTACTCGCCGTCATTGAAAAAACGGCCCTTTTCAGGGCCACCATATATTAAGGGATCAAACGCTGAAAACAATTTTAAATGTATTTTTAATATATACATATATATGCAGTCGAATCTAGGCTCGATTAAAAAAACGATTAGGAATTTTCGGTGATCTATACATCTATTAAAAGCGTACGTTTGCCCACGCACAGATATAAAAGCCTTAGAAGGGAAAGTCTCGATTTCAGCGGGCAAATGTTTATTCTTTTGATTGTGTCAGAAAATTTTTGGCGCGGAACACGTAACTCACTGTTGTTGAGTTGGCCACAGAAGCTGTACTTTTCAACAGTGTTTGCACTCTAATTTAGGACAATAAGAAGGGTATGCTTTGACTTTCATAATGTTTTTTGATTCCGCTACAGCTATTGTTTAACACTAAACCGACTACTAGCGGTTAATTTGATCGTCCGCAATTTTTTTCACTAGTTTATGTATTTAAATATTATCGCATCGCCATCGAAGATCCACGTTTAATTACAAAAAAAGAAATTTAAATCGCTCATTTTCGTGAGCGACGATAGAGATCGATATACGAGAAGCGTTGGTAGGTCTATTGTTAAAACCACTTCTAAAAGTCTCTAGTTAACTTCGCTGAATTAGCGGTTGCATGGTTTTACAATCTTGCCTGATTATTTGACACATTCGTCGATTCATGAATATTAATACGTTTCTGATGCGATGGTCGTGTGCTATTCGACTCTGATCTTCTTTAATAACGATGCTAATATTTTTTAACATATTGTGAGGCCTTGTGTAAACGACATCAATAAAATTAGGTCAGTTTGCTTAAACGTTTTCGACCTCGTTGGATTTAGTGGCCCTGAAAAGGGCCGTTGTTTTTTGATAGGGCAAGTTGTTGTTTAGCCGCCGAAACCGTAAAGGGTACGTCCCTGCCTCTTGAGGGCGTAGACGACGTCCATGGCGGTGACAGTCTTCCTTTTGGCGTGCTCGGTGTAGGTGACAGCGTCACGGATGACGTTTTCAAGGAATA